CTTTCCTTTCCTTTCCTTTCCTTTCCTTTCCTTTCCTTTCCTTTCCTTTCCTTTCCTTTCCTTTCCTTTCCTTTCCTTTCCTTTCCTTCTCTCCTTACCTTTCCTTTTCCCTTTTTCCTTTTTTCCTTCCATTTTCTCATTTCCTCTCTCTTTTCCTCTTCTTTCCTTTCTCCTCCTCGTCTTTCTTTCCTTTTATTTTTTTTTTACACAGTCCTTCAGGCTGTTTCTCAGAATCTCAGCCCTGTAATTTGACTGAAATTTTTTGTGAAAAATTAGCAAACATTTAATGAGAAATGTTCCTATATTAATTATGTTCATTGCTTTRTTTTCCATTTAAAAACTCTGGATTTTTTTTAATCCTCATTCAGTTTATGGGAAGATTTTCAGATATTTTTGAATGAATTGATTTAGGCCTCATGTTTAAACAGTATTTCAATCATTCCACCATTGAAGAAAAAAAAAAGTTTCATTAGTATAAGTAAGTTTCATTAGAATAATTAGCATCTAAGTAATTCCTGAGACAAGTAATCATATTCAAGAGACAACTGTTGAGGCACCTGAAAAGTGTTTTAATGCATTATTCAATAGTCTTTCAACAAAGGCAGACTCATAGTAGGTGCCTCAGCCTGATCTCTTTGAAGTCAATTTCAAATATTGTTCATCTGATAGGAATTCCTTCAGCTGGTATTTAGTGTGGGAATATTTAGTCTTCAGAATATTTATTTTTTCAATTTTTGAGGATGAATGTTATGTGTGAGTAACCACACGTCTTTGATAGACCTACATGAATAATGTTGCCTGGGGTTCTGTCTGGTAGCTAATAAACTGGGAGAGAATAGAGGACAAGACAGAGCTTATCCACAATACCTTTATTCAGGTGGGGTTTTTTTATTTGGTTTTGTTGGGATTTTTTTTGGTGGCAGTACCTATCATATTCCTGAGAACTGCTGTATCCATAGCAGAAGACCTTTTATTTAGCTGCTTTTTAAAATGCAGATGCACACATMCTGGCTTTTGTATTGTTGCTTTGTGACAGGCAGAGATTGACGAGCTGCTGAATTATTTTCCACAGGAGCTGCGTGGAATGTCACTTGGCTGCCGATGACAAGTCACTGGGAGATTGCAGTGAAAAATGCAAATTGGTTGATGCAACTGTCAGCATCGCAAARGGTTGGTACATTCAGTCTTCCTTTCTTGTGTGTGTGCGATTAGCAGGAGGTTCCACTTTCAGTAATTTTATATTTGAAAGTGGCCTTGTTTTTCTGCTCTGGAATTATATTATGGGTCATAAGGCGATTACTGTCTGTCTATGGCTCTTCTGAGGCAAGCAGGAAATGCAGAACAGGGCTGGTATTACGCTTCCAGGTTGATTAACTCATTGGATCATGCCTATTTTCTACGCAGTTTATGCAGGAAAGTATAGAATTTGATAGATACCAGTCCCTGCAAATCAGTGAGATGAAAACTCCTGAGTTTAAGTTGTTCCTGTACCATGAGTTCCAGTGGGTTTKCTTCAGCCAAAAAAAAAACCAAAAAGGGCTCCAGTCCTTAGACAGATTCTTGATTAGAGCTTGTGACAGGCCTTTAACCAGTGGCAAAGACATTTCTTGTATTCTAAAAGGCTAAACAGATCTTTTAGTTGTTTGCTTTAATTCAAAACTGCCCACGTCAATGGAAATTTCTGGAATGAGAATTAATCTTGAGTAAAACAGTACTATCGGAAAAAAACCCAAACCAAACAAGCCCCAAAACATTCAAACCTTTAAATAAAAAAAGTGAATAGTTTTCTTTTCTGTTGAGGARGGTGCCTGCTCAGCAGGCAGCCTGTGTTTATTCCAGTGGCAATTCCAGTCCCAGTCCTATGGCACAATAAATTGTTAAGTAAAGCAGGACGTAGGTTAATTATATCCACATCACAGACATTCCCTAAGCATTAAATAAGACAAATGCAAGAAGAAAGATGACAATGCAGAATCCTGTGTGCATGTCTAAGGTTTGTATCTGCAAGCTCTGTTGGGAGCCTGTCCGGAGCTGTGTGCATGCAGAAATGTCACTGATGGACATCCTCCCAGCAAAGTTACACCTTTTGTTTGTGATGGCAGTACTCCATAATACAGAGATCAAATGTTGTAAATGTTGCCCTTTTAAGGACAGTTAATTCTAATTTTGTATTTTCATTAAAATTATTATCATGCTTTGCCTTTCTAGACATCGGTATTTTTTATAAATAGAAATACCTTTACAGGCTTAAAAAAATACGTAAGCACTTTTACTGTATCTTTTCACTTTGTAAAGTTTTCAGGTTGCTTTTGTAAGGGGGCAGACATTTGTAGCTAGGAATAGATAAAACTTTATACTTTCAAATAGAATGAATGCTAATCAGGGCTAGGAACAGCCTTTTATATGGTTCTATTCACATACACAGAGGTCACATGAACATGAACATGACAATATCATCTCCTACTCCTGCATATTTCCTTTTTCTCACATCCTGTGCTTCCCTTATTGGGACTGTCAGCTACCTCTTTAGATTTAAAATTTATTTACAGCAGTTACTGGAACCTTCATGTTCCCATCTTGACCCTTCAAAAAAAGAAGTAAAAAAGAAGCAGCTGTTGCAAACTAAGAAGTCCTGAAAGAAAAAGAATGATCTTTAAAATAATAACTAAAATTAATCATAGAATAAAAACTATTACCGGAACAAAGCCCACCAATTTGAAAGTGGTATGACTAGGAAACCACATAATATTTAAGACATTATTGAGMAACTTCATGGAGTAGTATATATCTTTCTGGTTTATATTTTAATTTCTTGAATGCCTCRATGCTTATGGGGAAAGAAAAAGTAAAAGCTCTAGGTTAACTAAAACATTAGCGTTTAAAAAATCTGTTTCTCTTTTGCATGTGGATGTTGCAATACGATGACTGGAAGTGTGGAGCAACAAAAAACTTGTGGGCTTTACATTTTCCTGTTTCCTGGGAGTGCCCATTTCAGGCTCTGAGCCTTGGCTTTCAGCTCCCCTGCTTTGGTTCTGGGTTAGTTGGGGGTTTCTCCTCCTGCTCCCCAGCAGAGGTTCAGCCACTCCACTCAGGGATCCCGCAGGTGTGGCGTGTCCAGCAGCTCTGCTTCACATTTACTGGGCTTATCTCCACAGCAGACATCACTTCTGAACTTGTATTTTCACTCACTTTTAATACTCGAACATTTAAATTAGGCTAACACCCACTTTGCCASACGGGTGCAAAAGGAGCCCTCGTTGCTCTACTCACTACACAAAAGGATCCAAAATTCCTAAAAGATATCTCCYACCATCACCACAGCCACAGGGCACCAGGCTGCTCCTGCCACAAGCAGAACAAGGACAGTTATATTTTCCTTGAAGGAACTGAGTTTTTCCCACCCCACAGCGCTGACACCTCACAAATTCCCAGTGCAGCAGCAAAGTGGGTMCTGGAGTCTGAATAATCCTCTATGTCAGCGTTGCTCTGAGTCAAAGTGAGGTGAGCTGTCTCAAAAAAGGCATTTTGCTGAGCAAAAAGCAAACAAGAAAGGTCATAATGACATTTAAATTCAAAGTCAACTTTTTCTGTTGTTGAATSTTTCATGTATCTAGTCCTTCTTGTTTGAGTCTCCAGCTTGCCACTGTTAACAGATTCCTCCTCCACTGCAGCTTCAGTTATTTCAAATACAATTGAAATACAATTGAAATTACTAGAATTAGACTGCAGAAGAGCGTGGCAATTCACTGCAGAAGGCAGAAAAATACACAGATGTAAAGGACAGGAATTTACCTACCTAGGCAAATTTTTTTTGCTGATGAACTGCAAATAACATATGCAGTAGTCTCCCTTTAGTGATCCCTCATGCTAAAAATAACATCAGAGAAATGAAAACTACTAACCRTAAGCTGGATACTGAATAGCTTGAGTTGGCATTTTTGCTTTCATTTCTACRTATTGCACACAATCAGAATTCTGCTCCCCTCGGTTTCAAATTATAACATTAAATGAAAAATTACAATGTAAAATAATACATGTGCTATTAYCGCCTTCTGGATTATATTTGGTGTATTTTTGCAAGTTTTCAGGATAGCTAACAGCTATCCTTTTCCTTTTTTCCCCCTCTTTGTAAACAAGTTAATATTTTGAATTTTCTGACTTAAAAGAGTTGGGAAAGTACAAATATTGCAAAACTTGTGGCAGTGTTCCTGGGACTGTGATGTGTCAACGAGAGCCATCAGTCTGCAGCCCGTGGCCCTTCTAACAAAACCAAATCTTGTTAAATCAGCAAATCTTGGCCACCTGGCCCCYTGTAGATAAAATATTGCTCTGCCGCCAAGGACCAGCCACAGGTTAAATACAAGGCTCAAATCAAGAGCCTGTTTCCATTAAAATCCAACCAAATGGAATTTCCTTTCTATGGTGCTTAATGGTAATCTCTACCAGACTAAATCTTATGATAACAAGCAATATGGGGAAGAAAAAAATAGAGCAAGCCCTTTTTTTAATGTAGTATASGTTTCTTTAAAATACATATTCTTGTCTGATTCCTATTCTACTACTTTTGTATCAAAGTTTGAGGACTTTAATATTTTTAGCACAATTGCTTATGAAATTTCAGTAAGAGTTTTGAATGGGTAAGAAATAATGGTGAGTGACAATTATTTTTAAAGCAATGTTTGAGAAGCCTACCATTTTTCTTTCTTCTAAAAAATAAATCCTAAGAAGTTTGATTTATATTGAAAAGCATACCCAGATTTCCAGTGCTGCTCAAATCATGTGTTATATGGAAACATAAGCATTCAGCCCCAGAGGTGTTATTGCACACAGGGATAAAGTATTTCTGTAAAATATTACATTATAGTTGCACTCCAAATTACAACATTTCTGGCTCTGGACTTGTACTCTCAATTTCTGATTGTCTAATTTGCTTTATATTGTCCCTCAAAGTCAGCTTCCTYCTGTCTCTCTGTTCCCTTTGAATGAATTTTGCTCGGCTCCCCAGTTMGGAAAAACTTGGAGGGAAAAAATGGATTAAATTTTTGTGCAATCAACAGTAAGTGGAGGGMCAAATAAATGAGGTCAGACTGTCATCTCAGGCCACTTTATTTGCTTCATCCAGAATCCCATTACAAAAATTCCAGAATTGCAGTTTTCTGTTATTAATCTTTGTTTACTCATGTGACAGTACTGAACACACAGTGACCTTTGGGGGGCTGTTGTGGAGATGAATGGCAGCCCTTTTAACAGCATCCATCGCGGCTTGATGGATCTATATCTACTTCTGAAATAATTCAGAGGTGCCAGGAGTCGCTGCAAACCTAAGGAACATACTTTGTTCGACTGTTTACTTTGTCCCATAATTTGGGGTTGTTACATTTGCTAAGCAGCTCACAGTTAAGTGCCTTGGAAGCACTTCCAATTCATTGAAATTCACAGTACACTAAAGTAACAAGGTGCACTAGATCAGCGCAGGCCGGCAGTATCTGGATCTATTCTGAAATGCAAGTGAAAACTCAGAAAATAAACAGAATTGGGGCTGGAAGAAAAGCCATTAWGTTCAGCAGAAATTCTGAGACTATTTCTGCTTTTGTCTTTCACTCTTTACCATCCACAGACAAGGCTCTGACAAACATAATGCCAGCAGTCTCTCTAGTTATTAAAGGCTAAATTTCATTTGATCTGATGAATTACTTTTTTCCTTCTCTCTGCAGATTATTCAGAGGATAAATCCATTTCCTGCTCTTTGCAGGGGGAAAATGAATGTATAACCACATTTCTACTGRCTGTGGACGAACAGGGAAGGACAGTCATTCACAACATAGAACAGAAAGGTAAGCAGTGAATATTGCTTTTTCTAGGTGAAATCTGATTTAAAACCACAGGCAAGGTTAGCAGACTGGAAGCAGAGCTCTTTGAAGCAGCACAGCACCTCCTTGTGTTTGTAGCTTTTCTCTGCCCAGCTGAAAGAGCACCTCCTCAAGCACTTATTTAATGCAGTGGTAACATAAATTCTTGGCCTTTCTCAAAAAAAAAATGGGCAGAATGATCCTTGGGCTGTAAGAATAAGCTAATTTTTTCAAAGTCTTGTGCAATTTTAAGGTGATGATACTAAATGCCATTATAGGATAAAATTATAATTTACTTAGAAATTATATATATTTYATATATAGACAAATATTCAACAGACTGTCGATTGGATACCCCGATGAAATTCTAAAATATATTTATAATTCYGTTTAATGTTGCAGTGTCATAGAATCATAGAATTGTTTGGGTTGGAAGGGACCTTAAAGTTCATCTTGTTCCAAGCCCTCTGCAAGGGGCAGGGATGTCTCTCTGAGAGCCCCATCCAGCCCAGCCTTGAGCACTGCCAGGGCTGAGGCATCCACAGCTTCTCTGGGCAAMCCTTTCCAGCACTTCACCACCCTCACAGTAAAGAATTTCTTCCTAATATCTAATCTTAACCAAGTTAAGTGGACTAAAGTTACAGCCATAACATTGTAAAATTCATARTTTGGTCAACTCAGCCCTGTTTTTTAGAATTATATTGACACAGATCTGAGATAAATTTTTTGATTTATCCTCCTTTTTGGAATCTGTGTCTGTATCCAGCAGCTGCTAATTGGCATGGTAAAAGACCAGTGGAATAAGTTAGCAATTAACTTTAAACRTTTTGATGCAACATTTTCAGCTGGCTTCACAAAGCTTTTAGCAAGCTAGCAGGAGAAAAATAATGTGAACTTGAAGAAAAAGGCGTGCCCAGCTCATGGCAAATGAGAATCTTAGCATACCTCTYGGCTGTTTTTAATTGTCTAAGATGTATTGATTGGTTATCCACGGTCATAACTGGTTTTGTTTCCACAGATTGTGCACAGCTTCCAAATATCCCAATGATAGTGGTGGGTGTCACCCTTGCTATTCTGCTCATTGGCATTGCTCTACTTTGCATATGGAAAGTGCTGGTGTCAGTTCAAGACCGAAAAGAAGTGGCCAAGTTTGAAGCAGAAAAATCAAAAGTTAAATGGCAAACGGTATGTGAAATGCATTGATTTTACACAAAGTTCTTTCATTTGGTTACATGATGCACAACTGCCTTTAAAATTCTGTGTCTGGATTTTTAAAAWTATTTTTAAATGGATAGATTTTTCTGGTAAGTTTTCACCACATTCAGTATTCTATTAAGTAAAATTATAATTCTTTTATGGATGAAAATTATCTAGGATTTGATCTCCTGGTTTAATTTCTTCCACATGTAAGAATGTACAGATAACTTACTTTTATTTGTTGTTTCTTATTAGTATGGTGTCTWTGATTATGCCAAACAAAGTTGTTGTCTGCCTGTATGATTATCAGAGGTGTATCCCTGTGATCAGAAACAGAGCTGTTTAGGAAAGAAAGGTTTTTCCTGGCCTCTGTCAGGAYCCAAGCCAATTCACCCTGAACAGGAGTAAATGGAACTGGCCCAAATGCAGGTGCAAGGAGAAATCCAGAGAAATCCAGGCCTGTCTTCTGTCTACAGCTTTGGGCATCTAATGCAAGCTTACACAACATGTTCCCTTTTCTTCTTTCTTTTCTGCCCCTGACTTTTTGCCCTTTTGCAAAAGCTTCAGGACTTCTGAGGATCTTTTTTAAAAAAACCATGTTGAGTCAGCGTTTCTGGTGGGTGTCAGGAGGACAAGCAATGTGCTGTTCTTGTGGCTCCATTCTCCTACAAAGTCCTGTGATTGCAACTTTTTCCAAGAATGGGCACTGTCAGCCTTTCAGCTTTTGAGCTGGGAAAAATCATTAACTTACAGGCAAGGCCACCTGAGAACATTTTCTTGGTCCTTCAGGAGAGCTCGGTCTGGTAAGGGGGAAGGGAAGGATACAGTTGATAGAAGCATTTTAATTTTCTGTCACAAGAGGAAGGGATAGGCAGTGATTGATGAGAGGCCAGGATGAAAAGCTCAGGTGAGATTTGCCTTTCTCCCAGCACACAATGGATAGTGTATGTSACAAGGGGACCATGCCAAGTCACATCTCATGCTGAGACACTCTCTGTGCTTTTATAATGSTCTAACGGCCAGATTTGATACACAAATGTATCAGACACATTTGATGAGCTATTGTTGGATGATGTGCATTACTTTAATCTGGGAGACTGATGTGAAGGAAAGCGTTCTCCTGACCCCAGGCTGGTTTGTGCTCCTCATACAGATAGGTCTGGATTTCAGTGGCTTGGAGAATAAGTGAGCTACTGAACMCTATTCTGAAGTTATCAAAGATGCCACATTACTTCTATACAAACATTGTGTGACTCCCACTTAATCTGATTTTGTTTGGTTTTGATTTTGTGGGGGTTTTTTTTATTTATTTATTTTTTATTTTTATTTTTAGGAAACAAATCCATTGTACAGAGGCTCAACAACCACTTTTAAAAATGTAACTTACAAGAATCAAGACAAGCAAAAGAGGGCCATGGCTGCAGATTTCTATTAGCACCTCTGACACTACAAACTTAATTTTACTGACAAGAAATCTAAAAATACTTCTTCTCACCTGATTATGTGGTATTTGTTTGCACATTGCAGTGGTATTACCATTCTGTTAGAGAATATATAYCTTGTGTTGGGACAAGTAAAGACAACATATTAGGAGTAAAGGTTAGTAGAAATATTGAAAAACCACAACCCTTTATTATTAAAGGCCCCATCTTAAAAAATGGCATCAGAAGTAATTTTAGTCATTAATACTGAGGATTGTAAATTATCGTGTAAGTTTATTTGTTGTCAAATTAGGTATATACAGYGAGCTTAGTACTACTTTGTTCATACACACAATCCCATAAATTAGTGKTTAAGAATGTATTTGTACTACTCTTTTTGGTTTAATTTTTAAAAAGATTGTTCTGTTTTTTTCACAAATGCATCTTAAACTACTGAGGATTGAGCTTTCTCATATCACTTGTGTGACTGAATAGTTTTTTACCAGGAAAAAAAAAAGTGCCTGTCTTCTGTAAATCTAAGTTAAACGGAAATATTTCTTCTCTACTTCTTCTTTCTTGTCCTATTTCCCTCTTTCCCTGTCCTTGTTGCTGTTTGAGATTCTTTAAGGACCCAGTCCCTGGGATTATTTTAGGGAAAGCTAAATCAAGCCAATCACGCCTTATTGACTTGCAATTGTTTTCTGCTCCAAGCACAGACTGAGTTGTTTTTTTGTTTTTTTTTTTTTCTTTTAAATTCTAGTAAAAATGCAGAGAAAAAGATAAATATTTGTAAATTACAGACCCCAGTGGACACACTTTTAAACCAGAGRATTAACATAACTCCATTTCACCATTTACATCCTGTAAACAATTTGGGAACTTGCAGTACACCTCAAATGCTGGAGCATCACACAAAGTGAACCAGGAGCCCTTTATATGCAGAAATGTTCACRCAAAAGATTTACTACTTTGGTTGATATGTCCAAAATTGTGAGGTTCTTTCAATGCTCAGCAGCCAAATTTATTCGTATATGAAATTACATATTCAGCTTTTTTGGGCTGAGTTGTTTGGTTTTGGGTTTGGTTTGGTTTAGTTTGGGTTTTTCTCCCCACACTAAACAACAAAAAGATCTATGGGTTTCACTTAATATACATTTCCATTATRTTAATGAGGATTTTTGAATCTCAGTTTTAGCTAGTTGTGAATTACTTGCCATAATTTTTTAAATTGTAATCTGTTATCATGCATAGCACTGGGTAAAGAAAGCCCCAAAAAGCAACTAACATACTGACACAGAAAAATTACATCACTGGGTTATTTTAAGCCAACAATAGTGAACTTTACTTTTTAGTATCACTTTTCAGCTGAATTTTTTGCTACTCTGAAACAAAAATGTCAAAATGTACATAAGAAGGTACTTAGAAGACTTAGAAATCAAAGGAGGTACTTTGACACTGTTACAATCACATACATTCCCTATAGTAAATCATGTATTTGATCTGAAAAAGCTGATGTCCATTTTGTAATAAATATTTACCAGGTCTGTGTAACTTCAGTCTCCATACCCTCCACAGTTTCTGGAAGTGAGACTGATAYGTTAGCTAGCTCTGACCCATGCCTGTTTTAGGGCCTGGATCCAAAGTCAATGCTACAGATGTGGATCTAGTTTCAGTGAAACTATTAGTTTTGGTTTACAAAGACTGTTTTGTTTAAATAAACTGATTAATACTGTCTAATAGAGAAGTAGAACCTGTAGTATATATTTCTGTGCAAAGAGAAATAGTATCAAATGCCTTTGGAAAGAAGGTGATGCTATAACCATGTATTAAGTACAAAATTATAGCAATGTGATGGAAATGATGGCTGTCATTAAACTGGAACAGATTCTCATCTGTGCTCTGGTGTCCCGCATGTCTCATAGTGGAAACTGCACAGATAAAGGCTCACATCTGTGGACCCTTCCAACCACCAGACTCCCACAGATGTCGGTGCAAGTTACATGTGGGACCAAATCCCATTTCCCCAGCACATGGATAAACTCATGGGACACAAAGCTGGCCCCTGAATCTGCTCAGATTCCACTTGGGTCAGGATTGCCTAAGCAACTAGGGAAATCTGGATTTAGCCCATGTAAGTTATCGTTATCTGTTACTCTTTTGCTTCTCACAAAGAAGTCATCAAATTATAAACTTTCTCTGAAAGAAATAAAAATATTTTTATTACTTTTAAAATAATAACAATCTATACTGTTTATTAAATACCTTTTAAGTAARTTCTATTTCTGAGATCTGATTCTGCTACTCAATATTCGGGTTGAAAGCCTTTTTCCTGTAGGTCACCCATTTCAATACCACAGCATATCTCAGCCTTCAAATGTTAATAACAAAGTGGTGTTTGCATTTCATATCAAACTCTTGGTGCTCYACATTCTCTGTTCCTACAAGAGATTCCATTTCACAAACCTTCTTGCTCTCTTCCCATCACTTGTGTCTTCTGATCATCAGCAGAGATCCAATTTGGTATGTTTGTAATTGCTCCTCCTAAAATCTCTCTCTAAATTATCAAAGATGTACAGGAATCAGGCAGGATGATTTGCAATTTTTCTGCTGTGACTGACTGTACTATACATTTTCTGTGCACCTTCCCAGTTGTCAGGATGGACATCACTCAAACAATTAAGAATTCATCAGAAGAGAGAAAATAGGATTTGGTGAGGAAGCTTTTTATTATTGAGTGATCTCAAATAACTGGACTCATTCATATGAGCCATCCTTTTAACAGAATTAATTTAGATCATAAATTTTGACTAAACTCCTAGATTTCAAGAAATTTGAAGATCTCACTTGGCATTCACCCTAGAAAGAAGAGYAGTATTCATCCTTTTTTATTAACTCTCTCATTTTCACTTTGTAGCATTTGTATCAAAGTTCATATTTTTCTCTTTTTTATTTTTTCTCCACCAAGCTATTTAGTGAGTTTGTGTGTGGTGAGTGGGTTGAAAAAGTCTCTCTGCTGTTTTCACAAATACTGTTTTGACCTGAGGCTGGACCTTGAGAGTGGTCAAAACATTTTTTAATAATAATACTTCTATTCACTAAAGAGTTACACTGAATAAAAGAATAATCATTAGCAATTTTTTGGTATTTTTATATTATTTACACCCTATAGAATAGTAATTTCAGTAATGTATGGTAAATGGATAATTTTTTATTTGATTTTTAAAAGGTGCGTGTTAATTGGTATTGTAAATGTCCAGATTGCATTTAGCTTTGCTCTGTAATGTCACGGATGGGTATTGAGTCTGGGATACAAGATTTGGATGTCAAGTGCAACACTCTTCATGTCTCATTTGCCTTTACATACAGTTCAAGTTTTTTTGCAGTGAGTGTAAGAGAGTTATTGCTCCACAAAATTATCACACACAATCTAAAAATAAAACAAAAGAGACAAGTTTTAGCTTCATCTGCTTGAAAGAAACTGGTAAATCCTTCAACTTGTTTGTATAAAAAAGGAGTTATTTGACCTTGAATAAAGATTGCAAAATTGAATAATTTTGTAATGTGGTTTCTTGCTGTTCATTCTTCATTTTCCATTTCCATTCTTCACATTCCATTTTGGCATCAGTCTTTATCACTGTTTTCACATGATTTCACAAATCCTAGCAAATTTCTCATGCTTTGGCATACCATAGAAATTATTTTCCTCCCCACTTTTTAAAGACAGCACATGAAATTTAATGTCTAGATTTTTTTATTTGTGATCCTTTTACTTTTCAAGGAAATTACTTAATGGACGAATGTTGCAAGCAGCCTATTTCTGGAACACTGATTGATGACATATGGCATTYTTTCTCTTCTTGGAACTAGAGGATTTTCAAGTTCTCTTCCAACCCAAACCATTCTATGCTTCTTTCGTACTGGGATCCCTAAATTGTGTAAGTTGCTTAAAGCTAAAGATCCATCCATTCTATCAGGGTAGCAGCAGCAACATCTTTTTGGAAATGCACAGCAAAGGGCATATTTTCTCTTTAGTCCTTTCTTAAATGCTGGCTCCTAAATCCTCAAATATGAGACTGACCGTATATCTGTTTTACCAGAAAGCAAAATATTGAAGATAAAAAAAAAATCTACTCATTTTTCATTGAATACAAAGTAAGGTATGTAATGCAAGGATTATTTCACCTGAGAAGAAATTGGTTAAAGAAAGAGGCAAAGCAAAATTACTTTGGGCTTTTTCATGTACATATTTCTAACAAACACAGTAAATGTTTTTATATTAGCTGTGGGATTTTSGAGTCTAATTTTGGAGTGTTTGTGCTGCATGGCTGAGAAAACATGATCAGCTCTTGTGGGAAGGAGTGTACGAGGTGCAAAGGCACACCCTCTCCCAACCTGTGAAATCATGTCAGCACTGAGCACACATTGCCCTAGAATTTCTGCAAGTATATATATATTTGTTCTGAGTGTTACACCCAGTCAAGTTTTTTTTTCCAACTAGACTGACAGTACTTTGGTGGTGGTTGTCTGTTCTTTTTTAGCTGTTCATAATTTCCTAGCAAAGGACAAAGCTTAAATTTTCCTAACCATCATTTCTGGCCACTCCAGTTTATAGCAAAGCCAGGCCCAGCTCSCTGCCGCTCCTGTTTAAAGCCCCACTGAACCAGCGGGGTGTGCAGAGAGACARTAGGGTGGGACAGTGGGGGCATTCCACCCTGGAGGGAACACACTGACTGAGGGCCTTGTCCTTCTTGAAAGCATCATTTTTTCCTGGAGCTGATAAAAAGTTTCCTCGATGCTTCAATGTCAGAATCAATGTTTGCTCCCATTTTTTGTAGTGGAACCTGCATATTTTCTGTTACCCTGATTTATGAAGCTTTGTTCTGATAAAATAAAGAGTGTGCTTAAGGAATTGGTTAGCACAGGGTAGAGGCCTAACAAATCAGGAATGGTTTTGCCTATAAACCTGTTTGCATATGCTKAAGAAACAGAAAGAAAACTATCAGTCTCTCAGATAYATTTGAACCAGGAAACAAAGGTTGTAGAAGTTTTATGGAATTTATATCTACTCTAAATTTTTTGCTAAACAATTATATGATGGCTTTATTGGTTTGTTTAAAAATAATAATATTTTTTGATCATGATATGTGTAATTTCTGATATTGAGTACAGTGAGTCATATGTTTGTTTAGTAACCAAATCTACAGTGTAATATTAACAGCTCTTTTTTTTTGTAACATATTAACCGTTCTTTTGGTGGCAAATCTTTGCAAAAACTGCTTGCTTCTATTGATTTCTATTGATAGTACTGCAAYTGTACTAACAAGAGTGGCAAAAAATTGACTGTGTTACATCAAAGGATTAATGACAAAGCAGGCATGGTTTTGCTGGAATGAAAAGGATAAGGTGAAAAAAGGCTTTGAGAAACAAACATGGGCAGTCCAGAGGCAGTTCTGCTCCCATTAGCCATTTATGTTTTATTGTAAGTATTTCAGTATTGGATTTTTCCCTTACTTCCACATCAAATGAACTACACAAATGTCTGTTTCCTATTGAATCTGATATAACTGCAAAGCAACAGGCAGTCTGACATGATAGATTTGCAGTAACACTGAAATTTCTACCCATTATTAAATCATATACTATAACAAACTATTCTAGACTTGTGTCAAGTGAGCATTTACTGGGGGAAGAGGGAGAGATAGCTTGGAAATGTTAAGATTCACCCAGGGATGGCTCATGTGGCACAGTAACAGCCACACAGGTAGTAACTCTCTCCACTCATGCCTGTGAAGGAATRGCTGCTACTGAGAAGAGTTTAGAAGAATAAACTCATAGTAAAGTTCTTGTCACCCTTTAAAGGAGTTTATCACTTTGAAAAAGATGTTAGCCTAAAGCTAGCCAACTAACAAATAAAACTAAGACGTCACATTTAGAGAAAAAACACATTCTGACTAATGAACATAAAAGTGACAATTTACAGCCAGGGACTTGACTTAACCTGAAACTGGCCTGTACAGGCTGTTCTGTAAGGTCGTGTTACCCAATGTGAGCTGACAGGGACACAAACTGCAGAGCCTCGTGGCTGCAGCAATTACCTGGAGCATGGGAGACGAGTGGTGGGACAGAAACACAAAGGTGGGGCTGCCAGAGGGAAAAAGGGTGTCCCTGGTCATGGTTGGGATGTGTCAGAGGAGGTAGGGAAGGTGGAAGCAGTGCCTGTAGTGAATATGACCAGTTGTTACACGACTGGCAGAGCTGATAAATGAGAGCAGTTCTGTCTCTGGGGTAAACAGAAAAATGTTTTAKTGAAAGGGAAGGTGAATGCAAGCTGAGGAGTTGATTTGAGATACCTAGGAAGTGTCATTCTTCAGAGCCAAACAAGATGTAGGACAATGCCTCCAAAAAAGATGGAATTATGGAATTATTGCTTGCTGGGCACTGTTAATGCAAGGAATTTTCCTTCTGCTTTTTCCTTCTAGGTATTGTCTGGTTTGGTGTTCCCATTCTGGCTGGTTGGGGAAAAAATGAGACATCTTCAGACTCCCAATTACAAACAGAAATTATTGTGTAAAGAGGTGCTAAGCACATGACAACAGGATCTGTGTGTGKGCCTTGCAAAAGCAATGGGTTTGTAAGCAAGCTGAATAAGTGTGAGTTTAATGATGGCTTCTATTTGTGGATATTGAACATGCACTGGATTCATMTCTTGTATAGATCTCACACAGAAGGTGAAGTCTAACACAAGAATTGAACATTTGTGTAGAGTACCTAAATAGCAAAGGCAGGTCAGCTGAAACAAGTGCTTATGTGTAYATGTATATGTGTATATGTGTTTATAGGTACATGAGTACAAGTATACACAAAAAGAACAGATAATCAGCAAAGAAATGAAGAAAAAAATATTTACAGAAATTGAGTTCCAGACAGGAAACAAAATAAAGGAGCCAAATCATTACAGCAAATGCCTTGAAGGAAGACAGGTAAAGCTTCAAACAAACAAAAMCCCCCACCCCCAAAAACTGGAAAGTTATACCATTTAATGGGCAAGGTATTATAAACTGCCATCGAGTTTACTTCAGAAAAAGTTGCCAAGCATATTGRTTCTACAAGCCACTATGGCAGTGACGATGTCTTATTATTATACATATGTAGGTACAGCTCAGCTACAAATAGCCAGCTCAGTACAGCTACAGCTGCACTAGAAAGGATTTACCAGTTCGGTCTGAACAAAATAGATTGAGGACAGTAAAAAACTGTTTAGTCAAAGAGAAAGATCTGAATAGCAAAGAGAAAATAGCAAGGAAAACCACTTAGAATTAAGAAGTTGCTCATTTGTATTTAGCAAAATATTTACAAAATTACTTTGGTAAGCTAATTCTTAGGAATACATAATCAGAACGTGATTACTTTGATCTTGCTGAAATCAGCAAAAAAATTCGCCTGAAGGGGGGCTCCATCCCATAGCAGCCTCATTTTTCTCTTTTTTAAATGTTGTAACATGAACAAATTCTCAGTGTGACCCAGTAGCAGGTTCTGGATCAAAAGAGCCCTTTTCTGGAGCTCAGTACTCAAAGCAGCTGTCAAACATTCCTGAAGAGATGCAGACAGTTCTAAGTGGCCAGATTTTCATGAACATGCTCATTAACAATCTTCTCTCTCAGGATATGAAAATTTCAGAGAACTGCAGTTATCCTSATGAGAGGTACATCAAGCTCTGTGAGACTTACAACCCTTCTGTCTTGCAAAGTCAGATCTCTCCTAGATCAGCTTTTGCAGCAGTATTTCCTGCTGTTTGTTCTGTCAGACATTTTTACCATTTGTTAAATGGGGAGAAACTCCTCTACTTCTCTACTTCCTTCTAAGTGTTTGGCTTTTCTTGCTTTTCAAGTCCTTCTAACAATCAGAGAGAAATTTCCCCAAGCCCAGAGGCTTCTGTTTTCCATCCTTGTACCATGATTGAGGTAGATATGTCTCAGTTCAGTTATGCTCCAGCAATGCATTTATTTTTACACATTTATGTACATGTCYTTTACTTGTCTGCTGTGCATAAAGAACAAAGCAGAAACATGCTTTTGCAGAGTTAAAAGAAACTGTCCTGTGGATTCTCGTAAAGTTACTCTATTTTTAACCCAGAGGTTCTGCTTTTGACTTGCCCCAAGACTGAAACTAGCCCAAGGATGGCAGCTCCTGCAAATATTCAACTGAAGACAAAAATTAACCAAATGGAAGATGGCAATTATTTTTCCCCATGCCAAAACATAAAATTACTTCGAGGTCAAAGCTGACCTAGCTRAAAACAAGTCTCCGAGGGGGGTCTGGGACAGTGGGGGCGCTCAGGTACAGAGCAGCAAACCTGGGAACACGGACTGTGCTGACGGTGGCCTCCCACCTCCAATATCTCATGTGTTTTCTGGTTATTTTTAGATAAAAGTACATGGGGTACAGGCAAGAGAAAGTAGGTGTTTTCAGATGGAAAAGAAGGTTACTACAGAGCGTTTTGTCCGCTTGAATCCACAGCTCTGACATGGGCAAACAGCCCGAGCCGCAGGAACAGCATTTCCCGGCCCGGCCGAGCGGTCTCCGACTCGCATAACGCAGAGCGCTCGGCGGCGGCTCCGGCAGGCTGGGGTGGGGGAGCCCGGGGCCGCCCCTCGGGGCCGCCCCTCCTTCGCCGCCGGGGTGGGATCGCAGCTCTGCCCTCCCCAGGGCAGGGCCGGCGGCTCCGGTCCCGCGGCGGAGCGGAGAGGGGCGGCAGCGCCGGGGCGATGCGGGCGGTGCGGCTGCGGCTCCTGGCCGGCCGCCTCCTCCTCCTCCTCCTCCTGCTGCTGCTGCTGCTGCTGGGCGGCCGCGGCGCCGCTGCCCTCGGCCGGGACGCGCTGCCTTCCCTGCGGGGTGAGTGACGCCCGGGGTGGCCCGGGGCTGGGGAGCGGCGGGCGGAGCGCCCGGGCAGAGCTCCGGGCGTTCCGAGCGCTGAGGGACGAGAGGCCGGGRGCGGGCACTGAGCCCCTGGGCCCTGCCCCGCTGGCTCCGCTTMGCGCCCTGGGCGTCCTCCCTGCTTCTTGTTCCGCTGCCCGTTGCGGTCCTCCCCGCACCCGGTGGCAACAGGGATAGTTTTTTTCTCATTTCCAGTAAATCCCTGTTACTTTCTTTCTTACCACATAAGCAGTTCTCACTGCTTTTTTTTTGGAGGGAAGGAAATGGGAGGTAAGTGGGAAGGAAATGAAGCTATCTTGTTCGCCTAGTTTTGTTAGAGCCGTTTATTCCTGATTAGCTGTGTTGAGCCCGAGTAAACAGGAACTTGGAGGTACTGAAGACCTCAGCGATCACGTCTTCACCTGGGGCTGCACATCATCTCCAGGCTTCACTTCTGGAGAATGTTTCTTGTCAACTTCTCCTTGTTGGAGGGGCCTGGATATAGGAGAAGCAGATCTGTTTCAAAGGCTTCCCTCCACCCATTCAGTTTCTAAAGCATAGATTATCTCCTTTCCTCTTTGGGTCCTCTGGGGCCTGCAAGTTCACACAGCTCTGTTGCAGCTCTTCATCAGTTGAACTTTGGGCTCAGACCTCTCCCTGACTCGAGGAGCCTTGTAACAAACCCCATCTATGAGAGCAGTGGTCAAATGGATGGTGTAGCTTTGCAAGCTCAAAGGAGGTGAGCCTGGAGGCATTCCCGGCATTGATGTTCCTCCAGTTGTCTCAGTGCTCCACTTGGAGACAGAGCTGAGCTGCAGCTCATGGAGCYGTCACTGAGCCTGCCATCTCTTGTGTCTTACTTCTGCGGTGAGCTGGCTGTTTCCTGGCAGTTCTCAGACCARCACAGCTCTCTTGCCTATTGCATTTTGTATGTGGGGAATGGAAACCACATTTGGAAGGGGCCTCAGGAGTTATGATCTGGCTGTTCTTGGCACAAGTTACCCCAGAATGTAAAAGGGACGTTATTCACAGAGATCCTCCAGATGGGTTATTTGGTTAGTGCGAAAACCTTATCTTTCCTCAACAGTCATTGCAACTCTTCAGACCCTCACAGATAAAGACTTTCAAAGGTTGAGAATCCTTCACCTTTGGGTTATGGTCTTGCTCCTCCCCACACCAGGAAGGTGCTGCAAGGGTGTTGCTGCATGCTGTAGATGTAAATAAACTTTTGTCAAACTCACAGTCTAAGTGTGAATCTTGGTATCCTGGGAATTAACCTCATGAATCAGTGTTTATTTGTGCTAACATCCCAGTTTTTAGTTATCTAGCAAATTAACAGTATATATTTTTTTTTTGTCAGCAAAGATAAGACAGCTGTGAAAAAGACATACCCCTAGCATGAGGCAGGAACTCTTTCTGGCCATGTAGAGACACCTGTGTTGCCCATAGAGAGTTGGGTTGGATGAAAAGGATGAAATCCATACAAACAGCAAAACTTCACAGAAAACTCAAAAGCTGAGGGCCAATCTGGGTATCTGTCACAGTGTCTGATGGGCTTTCAGTGAGCTCAAACACCTGAGAGTTGTWGAATTATCATGGATCAAAGGAGCCTTGATTGCCCCCAGCTGGTTAAGGACTTAATGTAGAACAGCTGATGAGGGCTACAATTTGCTATATAAGGCTGATTTCCTCCTGCTGCTGGTTAGAAGGACTTGCTGCTGCTCTGTCACACGACCAATCTCAGCGTTAGCAGTGACGCAATCTGCAGTGCCATCTCTCTGTAAGTCACAATGTTTGTCTGCAGAATCTGTAACCAAAAACCTCTCCATAATCTATATTCCCTCTGTTCTGCTTGTTGTGTGCGCATTGTTGAGCTGATCTGTGTGCCTGTTACACAGCACTGTGGTGATGCTGCTTGGAACATCTTCCTTTTTTAGGGCCACACCCGAGCTGTATGCACTAAACCCAGCATCTGGGTGGACCTCTGCACCTCATACTTTATTTGTGGGTTGTGTCAATTTGAGAGGGGTTTTTTATTGTCATAATTGATGCTTCAGTATCTTAGGTGTAGCGAGTGGCAGAAAATTGAAAGCAGAAATTATCACTGTAAAATTCGAAGGTGAAATGGAAGTGCTGCTCAGGTTCTCAACACATGAGAAGCATATCCTKAGGCATAAAATAAATATCTCACATATAATGTGAGCAGAACTCCCTGGATTATTTACCAGTGGATTTCAGAGTGACTCAAATAGCTGAGCTGTCACAGGCTTACATTTTGCTGATTTCCAGTTCCTCGCTGCCTTCCTTTTTTTCTCACTCTATATGCTCAGTTAAACTTTTGCTCCCAAGACATTAAACAGCTGAATTTTTTCACATACTTATAACATGAGATCACATATTTCAGTGAATTTCTGGGTGWTTCCAAGAAATCTGGGATGTCAGGCTAGCCCCACAACATCTGCTTTTGTGGAGGATAGTCACATAGAGTTGAACAATATGTATCCCATAGGGAAGGCATACTTTAACCCTTGGCCASTAGTTCTCACAATGTAGATAAATCCTAYTACTTCTGTGTCCTATTGACAATGCAACTTCTTTTCTTTCTGTCTCTGTAGTTGCAGAGTGCTGAATGAATATGGCAGAGAATATGGCAATGTCAGTCTTAAATTTTTTAGCTTTTACTTTAATTGCACTCTCCAATCTGCATTGGGAATTATTTTGTAGCATACGGCATGACTTCTTGTAATACTTAARCCTTCTTTAAACATGAATTATGTTTTTGGGTACTTGTTGGTTTTGTAGGGTTTTTTTGGCTGTCCAACTTGAGAAATATTACCTGGCTTTATTTTTGTAAGCTTGCAAATAGTCTTCATGTTTAAAAAAAAAACAGCTGACAGTAGATTTTGACCAATCCTCCTTATTTTTTTGGMGTGTCAGTCATTCTGATGGATATTTTCCGATTTCTTCATAAATAGCTGCAATTAAAACATTTGTCTTTTGATATTATTTAATCAATTGCAATATTATACAGACTGAAAGTTTTTTGGGTTTTTTTTCCCTTACAGATAAAGGGATATTTATTATCCAGAGTGAAAATTCCAACTTGTGCATTAAAGTGGACAGAAGTGACCTTGTTCTGGAAGACTGTGGTCAACTCTCAGAAAACATGTTATGGAAATGGGCATCCAACCATTGTCTGTTCAACATAGGCAGCAGCACCTGTCTCGGGCTGAACATCAGCAAACCAGAACAGCCACTCACCATGCTTGAATGTGATTCAACTCAATACTCATTGTGGTGGAACTGTGATGGAAAGGCGTTAGTTGGTGCATCAGAGTACAAATTAGCAGTTGAAAACAGAAAATATATTGTGGCCAAAAAAAAATCTGCTTCTCACTGGAAACAGTACATGTCCGATGATGAAGATCTTTGTGAGCACCCGTTCCAAGGTAAGAATAAAATTTTGTCATGTAAGTGTAGGTGGGAAAAGTTTCAGTGGTTCTTTTGAAGGGGGTTCAGGTGCGTAGGATCCCTTCCAGTCTCTGTTGTGGTTTGGGTCTCATGGCTGGTGGGGTTTTTATATGCAGTGGTTGAGTTAAGCATACTACACAATTGATATTCTTTTGTTAAATTGACCCCCAAAATCATCAGTATCCTTGCAAACCAGGAAATGCTYATTTCAAATCAGTTATAAAATTAAAAGGGTTGCTAAGGATTTGCTGTTGCCTGTCCTGCAGCTTTCATTATCAGATAGACCCAAGGAGAGATAAGAAAGGATTTGGAGTTCCTGTCACTGAAATTCAGTCTGCAATTGCAGTGTGCACGGACCAATGACTGCAACGTTCAGCACCTGGACTCTGAACATGTCAAACCTTGAAACAGATCAGAAATTTGCTAAATCCTGCTGTACAGCTAGTGAAGGTGCAGGAATGTACATCAAGATCCAGGTCTGCAGACCTGACGTTTTCCAGGTGTAAGGACTGAGATAAAGCCATTGACTTGGAACAGCAACAGACAGCCTGTACCTTTACCCCTTCCTCAGCATTTCTGTGGAGGGACAGACCTGATGTTTGCACAGTGTCTCRGACTGAAGCTGCTGATTTTCCCCACTTGAACTTGGTGTTTGGGTGCCAGATCTGATCTTTGTGGTTTCCCCTGTAGCTGTGTAGTGTAGCTGTGCTTGGCCTCTGCTGTCACCAAAGTCCTTCTTTTTCAGACCTGTGATAACTGGGAAAACACCACAGTGCCCRACCTCTTTTATAAAGCTTAGTAGAATTTATATTAAGACCAGACAGAAAATATTTAAATCCATAAAAAGTCATACAAATTTGCTGTGAACACACAGTGAGATAAAAGTAGACCTGGTTTAGCCCTTTTATTGCAGCATCTCAGAGATGTGAGAAGAGGATCAGCCTGAGGCAGGCACTTCTAGCCTGATTTCAGGACCAAAATATTTAATTGCGTTGGCAAAATCTTTCACTTCCAATTCTATTTTCCACCTTCTGCCACAGCTCATGCCCATGCAAAGGCAGGCCAGTGTGTTAGTCCCCCAAGCAAGGGTAGTGGGGAATAGCTACTTTCAAAGGAAAAAAAAAATTGAAAAAAAAAATCAAACAATCTGTGGTAAGAGGGCTGTAGCAATTGAGTTTGTGTTCCTGCCAGGACTGAGATAATGATTTATAACTCCATAGCTGGCAGCATGGTAGCAGGCAGACAGAGAAGCAATCCTGATATATTTTTTKACCTGTTCCTTGTATTGTCTGTTCATTCATATCAGAAGGGGATTTACAGTGTGTAAACTGCTCTTTTATATGTGTGCAGCCAGCCATTAACTCTGGGAACCTCTAGGAACCTGGCAGTGTGTATTGATTCTGTAGCTGGAGGACTTTGATCTTAAAGCTATCAATGTGTGATCTTTGATAAACAATTTCCTTCAAAGTGTGATTGTGGTTCTTTGACCTTTTTTAGAAGCTCTGAGGTTTAGGAGACACTAAACTGTGGTAAAGCTTTTACAGCTTTCAGTTGCACTGCATTCTCCCAATATTTTGATCATCAAAGTATAACAGGAAAATACCTAAATATTTTGGAAGGCATTGATTGTGACAACAGGTGTATGTAACATCAATTCTCTARCTATGTTATTATTCTCCATGGGATAAAAGCTTATTTTTAAGAGTGTGTTTAATATTCCTTTGTCTTGTACATTTCCTTTCCCATAGAATGACAAAGAGAATGGAAAACACATTAAAAATCCACTTCATGAAGTGGGAGAAGGAGGGGAAATAATGTCAAATTACTGGTTTGTCATAGACTGCTGAATGAGTTTGCATCTGAGTGTGTCCTGATTTAGCTAACTGTTTTATGGAGTTGTTCTGAAATATAAATGCAGAATTTGTGTTAACTGGTCAGATTTTGGGGGTGGTGGTTTYGTTTGGGGTTTTTTTGTTAATCAAGTAAGTTACAAGAATGTGCCTCATGGTGACAAATTTCATAAATTATTATTTCCATATTCTATTTACTGAAATTATGCTGCTCACACTTGTAATGCTGTGTTATCAATTATAAATTAAAATTAGAAAGTAACTTTAGACATTTTATTTTTATCTCTGCTTCTAAACACAGGAACAGGAATAATGACATATGAGGACAAAGAAATTTTTGTGGTCTGCATTTCTTTAATCTCTGCATTTTATTTTTTTCCAGAAACATACACCTTGATGGGAAATTCTTTTGGTTTCCCGTGYGTTTTTCCATTTAAATATAACAACAAGTGGTATCATGAGTGTACCAGAGATGGAAAGGAATCMGAGTGGTGTGCCACAACAACTCAGTATGAAAAAGATGAAAAATGGGGATTTTGCCCAAATGCTGGTAAGATTTTTGCTTGTCTTCTCTCTCTCCCTGCAAGAGTTTGTTTTTTATTGTAATACTAGGATAGTCTGATTTTGGATTACTTCCCTTCTATTAGAGGGGATTGTCTCTCAGATCTCTGTTCTAAAGCATCATAAAATCAGCTATAAATRTGTCTATGTAGTGGGTATTTCTGGGCAACTGTTAAAATAGGTGGTAGTTGCAGCCTTGCTTATCCTTTTTAATTAGAGGAAGTTTATTCTCTTGGGTACAAGGTCCAAGGACATCCACTGACTGTTGCTCCACAAGTTGGGTGAGTTGTTCACAGTTTGAATATTTCAACATTCAGCTTTACAAACAAATGATTAGCCAGAATAAATTAAAATGTAGCTGTGTTGGGTTCACAGGAGCTGTGAAAATCACCACCAACTGCAGATCATCTCCCAAATACTTTATCAACCATATGAAATTTGGAGCAACATTTTATTTCATTAGTGCCCTATTTCCGTGCATACTTTAATAAAGGAACAGGAAGGGTGATCATAATCATGTTCCACTGGAATGCTGCTGTTATTAATTAATGGAATTGTTCAAGATATTGTGTTTCTGATTGGTTTGGAGTCTTGGGCTGTTTGTGACAAATCTGTTTTTGAGCAGAGAATGGCTGTGACATTTTTTGGAAGAAGAACCCCAACACACGTGTCTGCTACCAGTTCAACCTCATGTCTGCGCTGAGCTGGCACGAGGCTCGGGCTGCCTGTCAGCTGCAGGGAGGAGACCTGCTCAGCATCAGCAGCCCTGAGGAGCAGAACTACATAAGTAACTTGAGCAGTGAGTACACATTTCTTTGGGGACCTTGTAGGAAACCTGTAGTTAAATTTCCTCCCTATCTGTGCAAAGGGGTAAGCTTTGGAGCCTGATACTCTGTGTGATGTCTCTCCTACTGCTGCTTGTGGGGCTTTGTCATGTAATATTTGAAGGAGCAAGGATGAAAGTAAGTTCCCATCTTAATGAACAGAAGTGCAGAAGTGGTGGTATGTGTTGCGTGAGGATATAATTTTCTCAATTCTCCCTCCCTGCAGAAATTCCCATTCATCCTGCAGCTGTGGTTAGCCAGTGTGTTTGTTTACTTGGAGAATTATACATGTGTTTACCTTCTCTGCAATGTACCTTGATGTCCCTTTCTCCTGCTAAGTTTTCTTTGTAAGCTGGGCTTCACCAAATGCAAATGACAGGAACATTTCTGCAGGCTTGAAATAAATGTCCTGTATGGGAAAAATGCCAGCTCTCTTTTTGTTAATGATGTTACTCCTTCTCTGAGAAGCATTTTGCTTTTCCTCTTGGAGCAAATGTCTCAGGCAAGCTGCAGAGCAGGGCTTTCATGGGTATTTCAGTGTGTGTGGAGAAAATCAAGTGGAGGAATGGGTGGTGGAGCTCTGATGCAAAAGGTTGCCTCAGGTTTCTTGTCCATTGCTTCCCATTATTGCTGGTTTTCAATTGAAGGATGTAAGCTAACAGGAAGTTTTAAAAATGATTTCATTAGCTTTTTGATATGCCTGCACGGCTGTAAGAGTTTCTGAAAATTGTTTGGTTTATRGAAAGCTGAAACAAGCTAGTGTTTATGTAAACAGGCTAGCATTTATGTAGCTGCTTGTTCTAGATTTAAGTTTAAGGTCAGCAACAACTTCTGCAGGAAGGGTTTTCAGGATAAGTGGCTTTTGAAGGATTTCAGGTTTCTGAGTTAATTTCTTTTCATCTCTGTGCTGATTAACAAAGTAACAGACTTTCCCTAAGGACAGAAAAAAAACACCCCAAGCAGCCTGAACTTTCTGGAGTTCARCTTCAACTGCTTTGAAGTTTTGTTTTATTCCAGTTGTAACAAGTCAGGACAGCAGGTCTTTGCCTGTAGATATTTTAAAGCATGCAGTTTTACTTTGTTTATTTTTCCTGTTTCAGGGCAGTTAAACACCACGGACATGATGCTGTGGATGGGCCTGAACCGCTTGGATAATGATGCTGGCTGGCAGTGGTCAGACGGAGCACCGCTGATGTTTGTGAACTGGAGAGCAAGTACTTGATGTTCCTCTTGGATATGTTATAGCAGCCTAATTATATGTTCTCTRTAACWGCAGTCTGATACAACACTGCTGTTMTTACAGTTGTGTTTGAAAGTTGAATTAAGTGAAAGAGTACACTTCYTTTTTGGTAGAAATGWTTATTCATGTTCATGAACTGAAGGCCCTTCCTGGGATGTAACCTCAATGGGGATCGATTTGTTCAAGGCATTAATGGTCTAGTCCTTTTGTCTAGATAATGGTTTTGTCTAAACTATTTACTTTTTAAAATGTTTTTAAGGTTCCAGTTGCAAATTTGAAAACTTCAGCTGCATTCATGGAGGAAAGGAGTTTCAATTTGTATATATTAACAAGCTGCAATTAACAGTAGCACATTAACATATGCTTTGTGACTTGGTTTGCTACATTTTGAGATCTGCCCACAAGCAATTATAACATAGACACTCAGGCTTTAGTTTCAGCCTCTCACCTGAGAGCARCAGGCAAAGAGGCAGTGCCACGCAGGTAATTTGTGGTTAGTGTTCAACAGGCCACAGTACTAGTAAAATATTTCTAGAAGTTTGGGTGTTCAGGGATGTTTATACATTAATTCAAAAAGATGCAGAGAACTTAGAGCACCATTTAATAACTAAGAAGTGACTTTTTGYAATTTTGTGCTTCTCGAAAATGTTTTTGCAGATGTCTCTGATAAGCATTTTAAAGAAAATCGCTGTGCAGTGATTAATCCGAGATTGAACTATGGTTGGAGCAGTTATTTATGTGAATCTGGATTGCCTTTTATATGCAAAAAATATTTAAATAAGACAGAGCATGAAGCTCTGGGTAAGTCTCTCAGTGTTACTGTATCCTATTTGTGGGTGTGCAAGGAGAGCAAGAGAAGCCGCCTGACTATAAAGTCAGCAGAACTGAGTCAGAGCTGCACTAAATGGGTTTGCTAGTTTAAGTTGAACACAATTTACTTTATCTGATGTAATTACACTTCCTTCTGTTTAAATTCAGTCATTGAAAACATGTTAAGAGTCAGAATTAGCAAATAATTTTGATACAAATAGCATTTACTTGGTTCCTTACACCATCAGAATGCTCATTCTCAGTTAYACTATGGTAAGAGCCACACTTATGAGCTGCAAAGTAGTTTTTCAGTGTGAATGGAATTAACCAGTGGCACGCAGAGAAGAAAGTTGTATAAAAGCAGTGCAAAATTTGCAATTATTTTTATGATGTGCTGTACTTTTGATATACCAGAAAAACATTGTACATATACTTCAAGTGTTTATGCAATGAGTATAGGATATGTATACACAGAATGACTCAGGCTCCCATTCTGTGAGAAAGTTAAACACAGAATTGAGTTAATTCTAACATAAATTTTCGTTTTTGTGAGAGCAACTTACTTGGGCTCAGCTCTTTCCCAGTAACTTAAAGCTACTAGAAACAAGCAGCATGTTTGAGGAAGTAAGGAAAGACTTAGCCAAATGTTCTGTAGGTAATGCATCTGAAAAACTTTTATCTGTCTTTGAATCAGGTTCAGAGGTAATAAAACAATGTGTTTTAAACTGAATTAGCATTTGCACCAGCCCAAATGGTTCAGCCATCAAATAAAGTGGAAGAAATTTCRGTTTGCTTGGTAGGTAATGATCCATAAAGAAGGTGTTTTGGCCTCCTTAAGTCATCTTGGCCGACTCTGTTTTCAACTTTTGAAGATGAAAACAAAAATCTCTGAATGTGCTGTGAACATACCGTAAGCTTGGTAATTCTGTCTCATCTGTATGAACTTTGTGTGCTCCATTAGAAGATACATGGAAGTATTTTGCCACTCGTTGTGACGCTGGTTGGTACCCRCACAATCGCAACTGCTACAGACTTGGTAAAGAGGAGAAGAGCTGGAACAATGCATCTCTCTCATGCCAGAGTGAAAATAGCAGTCTCATCAGTATATCCTCCATGGCAGATGAAGAGCTGCTCCTTAACTTGCTTGAAAGCGGTGAGTGACTTTGGGGAGTTCAAATGTGCAGTGTTTTTCGAGTGTTTTGTGGTTCTCTTCTGCACAATATTGCATGGCACGCCCAAATGCTGTTTGCAAAAAATGCAATCATGATRCATGCCCATTCTAGGAGTCTTAAAAATCTATAAAGTTACTTTTTCCAACAACCATTCTTAAAATAAAAGTATGAATCCATGAGGCAGAYATAGTGAGACTCCAGTAAACATGTTAGCTTTTATCCTTTCCTGTTCTTGCCTGCCTCCTTGCAAACTGTTGCAAAATATTCAGTGATCGACCTTATACTAGAGTTGTATTAGAAGTAAAGCTTAGAAGAAGTAGAGCTTAGAAGTAAAAACCAATTCGGGGTATCTTTTGCTTTCTAGCTGGCCTCATCCCCACTGCAAAATTGCTGCTGCTACTATGAGGGCARAGCCCCCTTTGATGTCAGCAGGGCGTATCAAAGCAGTTCTGCTAAGTTCACATTGTCCCAAGAGGTAGCACAATTGCACAAGGAACTTAATGAACAAAAGCTCTTTGATGAAGCAATGCCAATACTTTTGTTGTCATAACAGCAGCAAAGAAAAGTGAATATTTTCTGCCTTCCCCTGACACCAGTGTGCTGGCAGAGCTGCACAGTTTGGTTGTGAGTCTGTCTCCCAGAGCAGGGGCGCAGTGACACGTGGAGATTAAGAAATTACCCTCCACATTATCTTCCTCACCTCTATTTAGACCTTCAGTAGATACCAAATACTGTTATTTCCAGAGATACTATAATGGATAGATGTAATTGTTCTCAACTTCAGTTGCAGCTTCAGTCTGAAGCTTCTCTCCAGCCTGCTTCAGATTTTTCTTCAGAAGTGCTTACATGCCTGAAAGCCTGAGTACTTTTTCAGCCTGTAGTAGCTGTTCTAAATAGATTTTACATCAAACTGCAAGCTTTGTCTTTCCTAGGTTTGTCAGACACTGGTTACAACTGTGCTGTCACTGGACCACATAAACTCTCAGAGAAACCTGAAGCTAATTGTGCTGTGGAAAATTACATGAAGAAATATTTCAGTTCTATGTCAGTTTTTCTGAAAGTGCATATGGTCATTTGTATTTTCCAGGATTTTAAAGCATGTTATCATGTATGTTGATCTATTTTTAAAATTATTTGGTTTTCAAGAGCAGTACAGTATAATCTCATCAATAAGGTTTCCTAAAGTTTATACAGCTTTTTTTTTCTTTAAGGAAAGACATTCTTATGAAAATCCCATGAATAATTTTTAGGGATGGTGTTGATGGTAAAGGAAAAACAGGCTTTATCACTTCACCATTAAAATCTGAACTCACTTATTCTTTTACAGAAAAYGTAACTGAGACATGGATTGGATTATACAGCAATAACACCCCTGTTGTTTTTGAGTGGTCAGATGGCACCCCAGTAAAACTCTCTAGCTGGCACARACAAGAACCTAACACCTTTCAAAGAACTGGACAACTCTGTGTTTCAGCACAAGGACCTGTAAGTTTTATTTTAAAAAAATTAGACGCTTTTGGTTTAGCTCATAATAATTCTGTTCCTTGCTGTGCATAATTTTTTAAACCATGACCTGAAGTATGACTTTGTTTTTTGATTCCTAACATATTCATGTTATGATAAATGCTGTGTAGCCTTTAGAAACCAATGCATTCTGCAGTACTGATGCACAGAAAATGAATCACAGATTTTGAGCTTCAGATAAAAAATGCTCTATATGTAAAGCCTGCCAAATGGAAGAGAACAAATATGAGTGGATGTTTTGCTAAAGTAATTTAAAATCCAGCTAGTGTGTATCATAAATTATGATGCATAACTTCTAGTCTTGAAAATTTCATGCTTTGAAAAACTGTCAGTTGTGCCTGTATTGTCTTGGTGTAAATATCTATAAATTTCATGTAGAGGCTTTCAAAATCATAGTAGTCTAGTTCTACATAAAAGTATAGAAGTTTACTGCAGGAAGATTGACACCAAATCAGTCAGAGGCTGTAAACCAGGGAGTAATGTTAAAACAACGCTGTCCTGCTATACTGGTGTTCGTGGCACTGTCAATTCTTTCATAATGGGGTCATGCATTTACTTTTGCAGTTTACAGTACTTCAGCTCACTARTACATGACTTGAATAAGTAGCACTGTAAATTTTTTTGTAAAGTGTGTTATGTCTGAGTGTGAAAGCTGTATCAAGAAGAGTTTCTGTTGTCTCCACAGTAGTGGGTCCAGGTTGCAATCTTTAACTCAGGGGAAAGCCAAGACAATTACAATGAGTGGGAAAAGTGTGTTCCAATTGGAAGCAGAAAATAGGACTTTGGTACAATTGTGGGTTTTAGATTCCAAAGTCATATTTTTTTCAGTTTGCTAGTATAAACAAATGAAAATGCAAAATACAATGGAAAAGGAGGTTCAAGATAAAAKTTTTCAAGCATTGTTTTTGATACATGTCCAATATATACAGTTATATGATACAATATCTATAATATCTTGATTAAGGACTGTTCAAATATAAAGATTAATCTTACAAAGAACTGTGATAGCTAGAAAGTACTCTGGCATGGCTGTAGTGTTAGTTAATTAAGATGCTTTACGTCCCGAAGACTGATTCAAAGAGACAAACCCATTTGTATGATTGATTTGAGGCATCCTGCTGACAGTATTGGTAGAAATAAATGGACCATCTAAGAAAAAGTAAATGGAGTGGGAAAAATTACTTATTTTTTAGTGAGGAGTTAAAAGACGAAGAGAGAGTGTAATCTAATGTTTGTATAGATATGCATGAGAATATGGGTATGTACAGAATATACTTCTTCTTATTCCTTAGGACGGACACTGGAGGATTAAAGAGTGTGAAGACAAATCTTTTTATATTTGCAAAAAAGCAGGGGAGTTTAATAGTGTCTCTCCTGAATTGGAATCRGGTTGTCCAGAGGTAAGTGGGTTTGTGGTTGTTGTGGAACTATACTGATGACATAGAATTATTTAAGTAACCTCTAAATACAGCTACAGAACATGTGGATGCAAATAGATAATTTCAGTTTTTTTATATTAAAGACATGCCTGTTTTGCTTGGAAAAATCTTTGTTTGCTTTAAAAGTATGTAAACTAAAGTTTAATGTAAGATTAAAAGCCTTCACAAGATGCCTTCATGGCTTGTTTTTTCATCAGTGGTTGTGACCCAAGTTCCTATTTCTTTCTACATCAAAAGTGAAGCCCTTTTGCCCACCATCTGTGCAAATAATGGCTGTTATATGATGCCTCATCCCACACATGGTTTTCATACATTGAGATGGAATGTCAGGGTGAAAAACAATCAGTTTCATTGACACAGAGGATGAACTCTTCCACTCATACATTAGCATTCCATTTGCTTTCAAACACAAGTGGGAAGGAGCACGGCTGTCTAACTAGGACATTTTGAGGCATTTAGGCTCTGCATTCTGTAGTAAAAGGAAGCATGTTAAAGTATGACTTTATTTGCCATCAGTTCCTTTTCACAGTGTGGAAAGAGGAAACTTGTTCAATTTCCATTATGTTCAAAACTGTGGAGGAAAAAATCTCTCYTCTCTAACCTGCTTTACTATTTAGTTCATTGTCTTCCTTTTTTCAATTTTCTGTCCTGTTTCTTGAGAAATGAGGAAACACAACCAGTTCAGTTGAATTATAAGAAGGTTGAAGCTGAACTGTTTGGATTCAGATGTGGTGTTTCTGCAGATGTAGAGTGTCCTGATACGGAGTTCTTGTCATACCGTTATGGAAGTTACTGCTTGGTTCCAGCTTAACATTTCCAAAAGTTTAGGGGACTGCATTTATTTCATTTGGACCRATGTATTCCATCACTCAAGAATTTTGTGTGTTACTAGTGTAAGAAAGGTTTGTCACAGTCCTGACCAGGGGAAAAATGTACAGAGCATCAGGATTTCCTTGACAATCTGTAGTCAGCTGTTTGACAGCACTTCAACTTCTTCTCAATCCTGCATCCCACAGGCCTGAGTCTCAAGATATTGAGCCACTRGTCATAAGTATTTTGATCCACTCTGGCAAACTTCCCCTCAGAATAAATTTCTACTTCTTGATGTTCCACACCCTGCAAAAACATGTGCTGAACCCTCTTACAGTTCCTTGGCTTTGATCCTTTTCTTTCTAATGTGAAAAAAGTTACATTCAGTTAATCAAAAGAAGTCAATACTTAAGCTTATTCAAAGCTACCTTTGTCTGATTTCAGACATTYTGTATTGTCAACTCACTTTCAACATTCAATGTATATGTTGTTGCTAGTTATTTGCCTAATTTTCTAGGGCTGTCTTTGCTTCATCCAGAYTTAACTTTTTTGTCCATTTTTCTGTTGCTGTCTTACCCTAAGTGTGCAGAATAAGTAATGGAGTTTCTCACTTTCCATTATCTTCATACTGTCATTCGTGTTGGACTGATAATAGACACTCAGGGAGCTTTGGCCTTGGCTGCAGTGTTTGCTTTCCTAAAGCTTTGTTGTCTTACGTGTTATTGCTAAGCTTTCGCCTCGTGTTGATTTTTGGACTTGTGCATCAGAWGAACCAGCCTTTAACATTTTTTGTGGCCCTGATAATGCAGTTTTTTGCAATATGTTCATATGCAGTTACCAGAAACCCAAGCTCTTTCTTTCCCTACACTTCTGTCAWCCTAAGACATAAAATGTGTGGAGTAATTTCTTCCCTTAGCAGACTAACTATTCTCTTTTCCTAGTCAGTAGGCTGTTACTGAGAAKAAACATTTTAATGCCAAGGTCACATACTCTGGGCAGATAACACTGAAATAACAGCTKTAAGTATTTTCTTTCAGCCAGCTTYAGAAACAGGTTGTGGAGTTATCAGCTGCTGGAGAATGAAGTTGGGTGGTCCCAGGTATAGAACTACTGTGGTGTACCAGTGACTTTCTCCAGACCCCTGCACTTTGTTTAGTGCATCAAAAGATAATGCAATTGTACTAAATTGAACATTTGTCTTTATGGCTATTGTAACAGAAGATAATTTTACTTTTAAGAAGATAATTGCTATTATCTCAATTGCTTTTATAGCTCAAAAGGTTATAAAACCTTTTTGAGAGGTTAGGATGATTGTGTTTATCTCCTTTGAATCCATSTATTTATCACTCAAGAATTACAATTGAAGGAAACCAGACATTTCTGTCTCTTAACTGTGTCCCCATAGAGGGCATTGCAGTCAATATTCAGCCCTCTTCCAGCCCTCAGTGCTGGACTTTGAGTGCACATCAAAGTGAAAAGACAGTGAGAGCCGTCTGGGTCCCCAGGTGCTGCATTCTCCCAATGAGAAGTCCCATTTAGGAGATAGGGAAGAGCCTCAAGCCAGCAGTTTATTTCTTCTTGCAAAGCCAATGTCTGAACATTGCAATTGTGTTGTTCAGGGGAACCCACAGAAGCTGGTAGTGCAGTGCATTCTGTGCCAATGAAGGGCTGTGTTCTGAGCACAGAGAGGGGCTGGTAAAAGGCAGCAGAGCTGTCGGCTGCCCCAGCAGCAAGCACGCTCCTGAYTAGAAGCTGAAGATCCACCAGGCTCAGCATAGCTGAAGGATGTGCATAATCATTGATTGTTATCCTGCATAGGTCTGCAGCAACTTCTTGTACATTTCATTGTACTTTAGGGGGGAGAGCAGAAAAAGAGCCTATCCTTTTCCTCTTTTCTCTCCTTTTGCTTTCACCATCAAGCTGTTCTTGATGGTGCCCTTTGTGACCCCCCAGCAAGCAGCACCTCCTTCATGGAAAAGGCAACATGAGATCATCTGGTTCTTTTCTGTCTGTGTGGCATTGGGATGGATTGAATTGAGATTGTGTATTATCTCTTCATTCTCTTGCATTTTTAAAACRTGTCTCATGTAATCATGAGACCAGGCAGGCATGCTGCATGAGCTCACACCAGCAGAACGTACRCCAGTCCAGGTGGTGTCTTTTGGACACCCAGGGCTGAATAGTCAGAAATAAGAGTACTAATGAGATGAAATGAGGCAGGCTGACCACTGACTCAGTGTCCTGGCTCATTTGATATCCAYATTTTCAGTAACTTTGGGGATAACTGCTCTTCAACCTTGGTAGGAAAGAAAAGCACTATAGGGATGCCAGGTATCATCAGACAGAAGGTACAAAAGGGGAACAAGTTTTTAAYAGCTATACAATAATTAATAATCTATAAAATAATGTTCATTTCTTTTAAGGGATGGGAAAGACATGGTGGATATTGTTACAAAATCGACAGTACCCCTCGAAGTTTTGAACATGCTTCCAGTGGTTTTTTCTGCCCATCTGCACTTGTATCAGTAACAAACAGGTAGTTAATCCTATTAGACAGTGTGAAGATACCTCTAACAAGAGCTGCTCTAACTTTATAAAGTGTTGCATGGCAAAAGATATTACCATGATGAAATAATTTTTGCTTGAGAAGTGAGCATAATTACTAACATTGRCTAAAATCAAGGGTGTGCTTTGCTTTACCTTTTAATTGAAAATAAATTTAGTAAAAAGCAGCTGTTAGGCTAATAAACACTTACAGCAATGTGCACACCTGGGCATGCAGGAATCTAATGAAAATGCTTTCTACAGGGGTATGTAACATCTTTAAGTATTGGTGTACTTGGAAAAATTAAAATATATTTATTTTTTGTAATTAAAATATTAAAAATTTTAAAGCTAATCAGTTAGTTTTTTTAATGTTTCTATTTATGTATTCATTTTATGTATGTTTTCAGAAAATAGGATAAGACAGTAATTGTTTGAAATAATTTGTTGCTGTTTTCCCATGCCTTGTTCATATTTACCTCTAGTCCAGCTTTAGTAAGAGCTTTCTCCTCTGCAGATGTCTGGATGCTTGGGGTTTCTCTGCTGTCTTTATTATTTACCCTTTATGTTGGCTTTTCATTAAAGCTTGACATACTGATAGATAAATTACATAGATACCTCAGCCACTGCATAAAAAGCCCAAAACAACCAAAAAACCCCAAAAGGAGGAAATGTCCCCTCCCTTTAGACCAGAGGAAGTAACCACCAGCAATCAGATGAATAGTGGTGTTTTAGGGAAACACTGGCTACCCTACAAAAGGTTTGACATCAATGGGAATTTGTCCTGCCAGGTGGTTCCAGGATAGAGCACAGGGTGCGGAGCACTGAGCTGCAGTGTGATGATTGTCCTTTCAGGAGGAATAAAGGACAAATTCTTGCAGCTGAGCACTGGCAGCTCAAATGTGGCAGGGAACTGAGGGCTGAACATCACTAGAATCATGTCTTCTGTCTTTTTCTGCCTTTTTTTTTTTCCCTTCCCACTTCCAGGTGTAGCTGTCACTAATTAAAATGTTAGCTCCCAATTCCAGTTAGCAGCAGTGGCAAGGAATAGCAATAACAAGTTAGTTTAATGTTTTGTTTTTTTTTAAATTACTGCTGAGGTTTGTTGTTCTGGAGTGAAAAATGCAGAAACTTTTCATTTATTGATCCTAAAATGTTCATTAGATAGTTAGTTGTAGAGGGAGGAGAGTTGACATAATTTTCAGTTCCTCTGCATGTTCTCTTTTTAAGTACAAGTTCTGAGACACTCGAAGTGTGAGAGATAAGTCCAGTCTTTTACATTAATGTCACCCTTATGGTATTTAGCCATTGTTTTCAGAGTTTGTGAAACCAGAAAGTTGAGYAAGTCTTCATCAAACTGGGAAATTGCTTGGTTTTACTTTTTTCRTAGTCAACTGATTAAATGTGCTCATAAACTGAAGGATTTTTGTATAATCCTGTACCAATTATATTAGAATCAGTTGCATTTAAGTGACAATTGGATTACTATACGCAACAATTATTACTTGCAACARGCTGTATATCTCTCACATAACTTTAGTGAAGAAATTAAAGAAGGAATTCTTTAATCAGCGCTCCTGATTCTTTCTGCAGTAGTGCTTTGAGTCCTTCGGCTCTGGTTTTTTAGTGCTGGTTTGTGCCTGCTTCCAACAGGGCACTTCTGTGCAGATTTTGTTTTTTCTTTCTTCTGGAGCCTTTTCAGACCAATAACTTTTCTCCTTCTTGCAAGGAGTTTCTTGTTTTTATTTGTGCATCATTAATACACCTTATATTTACATCTTGTGATTCAAGCATTGAGGCTGTAAGATCTGATTCTAGTGTTTCTTTTATGTGCTCAAATGCTAAAAAAACAGGGAAAAAATATGACTTGTGCTACAGACTTGTGCCTGAAGTTCCCCACGGTGTTTAYAAAGGAAATTAAGTACCTCTATTATATTCTTCTCTTCTAATATAATTTAAATGATTTAATGAGAGCTATTAACTGAAATACCAATTTACCTCTTTTATCCTAAAAACCTTTATCTTGATTACTTTATTAAGGTTTGAACAAGCTTTTATCAACAGCATGATCSGCAGCATGGTGAAATCTGAGAGAACTTATTTTTGGATAGGATTGCAAGACCTTAACAACACAGGAGAATACTTTTGGCTCAGTACAGCAGGAAAGAATCTCTCTGTGAGCTACACAAACTGGAACAAGTACCAGCCACGTGAGTACATGCTGTTAAAAAAATCWTTGGTTTGGAAACTCAGGAGTGTGCTCTCTTCCCCATGGCACCAGTGGCTTAGAGGGACTGAAGAGTCCCAGTCTTTTCCTCCCTGCCTGGTCGAGAGAGCAGAGAGATGAGCTTACATCTGCTGTCRGCTCTGTAACTCCTCCCTAGCATGGGTTGAATTAGGTGAGTCAGCAGTTGTGGAGAAGTTGGAGCTTCCTTCCCAGCTTTCCACCCAGGGGCTGCTATCCTGGATTGTGGTGGGGTGCTGGATACCACTCTTCCCACCTGAGGCAAGGGAAATATTAATCTAGTGTTTCTTTTGTGTCTTCTAGTGTGTCTTAAATACTGAAAAAAAATATTGGGGAAAAACGGTGGCTTATGCTWCAGACTTGTGCCTGAAGTTCCCCACAGTCGGGCCCTTGTTACAGGCACAGCTAATACCTGAAATGCTTCTTTTCCCATGAGGTGGTTTTCATGCATTCCTTTATGGACTGTAATACATTCRTTGTATACGTCATGTTTTTTTAAGAAACATCAAAAAAGCATACAAGATGTTTTTCATACATTTCTTGATGGACTTTTCAAGGGCTTCCTGAAACTYCTGCCAAAAGGTCCTTGAAAAGTCAAGAATTTTAGTCAATAACAGTCACAGCTTGAAATTTGCTTTGTATATGAAAAAAAGGTCAGCAATTGCCAGATACATTTCTGTAAATAAGAACACTGTGGGGAGGTTACTTCTTCTTCCCCTTTAGTTTGCTGATACTTGGTTTGTGATTTTCATCTTGTTTGTTTTATAGTAATTCTAAGGAAAATATTCCAAGGAAACAAAAAGTGAAAAAATGAAATAGTTGTTCAACCTTTGAAACATAAATCACTTAGCCATACCTGAAAGCAGAGATATAATAATAAAGATATTCCATTTCAATAATGGCTCTCTGATTTGGCCTCTTTACATTTATTACTTTACTACTGCATTTTGCAACAGTAATGTTTTTAATGGCATTTCTTCTTCTGCATTTTGTGAGAGGAACCCTTTGTCRTGGTTCATTTTACTAGTTGAAGCCAGCCAAGACAGGCTTATGAATTGGCTGCTGACCAAAGAATTTACTACTCTTGTAAGTTCAATAAGGTTTTATCCAGAAACTCATGTCAGTAAAACAGCTACTTCACAAAAAATCACAAAATTCATTGTTTTATTCTCTTGTCTAGGTCATTCTGGAGGGTGTGTGGCTATGCGAGGGCAGCACCCTATTGGTTATTGGGAGGTGAAGAGCTGTAAGAACTTCAAAGCAATGTCAYTGTGCAAGCAAAAAGCCGATTTTTATGAAGAACCTGAACTTACTTTTCAAAAACATTCGAGTTCCTGCTATTTTGGATGGGAGTCAGAGCCTAATCTGCTCAGCTGCTACAAGGTACCTGTCAAACTTCCTTAGAGTTTTTCTGATTCRCACCATCTTAGGGATATGCTGTTCCTAAAAGATTTTTGATAATGCATAATTTCTTTCACTCAGCAAACAAACAGGAACTATTACCATCCGCACTGCATTTAAAAGTGAGTGAAAGTAGTAAGAATCAGAGCTATRCTTGGAATATATATGGCTTTAGTTTGAAAAAACTGAATAATATTTTACTGTTACAGGTTTCTAAAACAACTGCTCTCTAAAATCAACTACATTTATGATAATGTTTATTTTATTGCAGATTTTTCACAATGAGAAAGTTCTGATGAGAAGAACATGGGATGAGGCAGAAGCATTATGTCAAGATTTTGGAGCACATCTTGCGAGTTTTAGCCACATTTATGAAGAGACATTTTTAAACAATCTATTATATACAATTTTTGACAGGTAAATATATTTTTAACACCAACAAGATTTATCTTAATCATAATAATCTAYAATTTAGGTTATTCTATCCTCTTTACTAGTGTCCAAAGTAGTCTTTACTCTAACACAAACTTAAAAATGGGTGAAATTAGCAACATTGCAATGTGATTCTTTTTTGAAGATGATCTTTGCGATAAATGTTGAGYTGCTGTTATTGTCAAGGTGGTATTTTTGTGAGTTAACATTTCTCATCGAAATGGAGGCTCAACAATTTTAATCCCATTTTAAATGTTTTCATCTTGTAAAGTATAATTTAACATTTTCATGGGAAAACAAGAGTTCACTTCAAAGATAATAAAAAGTAAGAAACATATTATGGAATTATATATTGAATTCAAGAAGAAATCAGTATGTGAACTTGTACTACTAATAAGTTTTCTGAAATGGCTAAGGAAAAAGTGCACGAGAAATGTTATTTTCTTTGTTTCTGCTCTAGAACAGAAGAGAGACAGTTCTGGATTGGATTTAATAAAAGAAATGCGCTTTCTGGAGGGACGTGGCAGTGGTCTGACAGAACACCTGTAATTATCTGTTTACTCTCTTATTTCAAGTAACCTTTCAAGTCATACCTGAGCATTCTTTCAACCAARGCAAAGGCTTTTAGATGTGGACAATTGCTGCCAATCATGTAAAATATTTGTTAGGTTTCATAGCTATTAAGTTATTTTTATGAAGGAGGAGTTTGATATGAGATGGATGAGTTGGACAGGACATTGAGAGAACATGAYTGGAGACCCTATTATTTGTATTTTACCATCACAATTTAGGTGGTCCTCTAGCTGTTGCTTAGATGTTCTTATTGTGCACACATGTCTAAATTCTTCCTTTTCTCCATGATGAGACTGTTAAATGCTTCATCTTGGGTTGTCAGTGAAAATGAATGAATGTGCTGTTTTYAGGTTGTGTCTTCATTTTTGGAGCACAAGTATGTTGAAGATGACTTGAGAAACTGTGGTGCATTCAAAGTAAACAGAACAGTCTTTCCAGCACTCTGCAATGAGAAGCGTGAATGGATATGCAAAATACCAAAAGGTGAAATGTTAATTAACATGCAGTGTCTGTTACACACATTACTTGCAATTCAGGAGAAACAAGAAAAAACTATCTAAAAGTCTCCATTTTATCTACCTCTGGAGTTCTCAATGGTCTTCTGCATGAAATAATGACAAAGCCTTGGGGGTTACTCCACTAATGTTCATTGTCCAGTTGAGAGATCTACTGTGAACAGTCAGTTAAAAAAATATATAGCAAGATTAGCAGTTAGTTAGAAGTACTTATTCAAAATTGTTATTGATAAAAATTATTGTAAATATTTTTTTAGTGAGTATGTCAATTATTTTATTTTATTCTATGTTTGACTCCTTTTTTATCCCAAAACAAGAATAACRATAGTCTTAATTATTTTTTGTTTGTTTGTTTTTTGCAGGTGTGAAACCAATGAGTCCAGTTTGGTACACAGCTGGTATGAAAATATTTTCTTTCCCTTATCTTGAAATGATATAATTTAGAAATAAAATTTAAGCCTTTGTTAAAAATGAAAAAAACTAAAATATTCTAAATTGAAAATATGCAGTAAGGAACTCTGTAAGAACTTCTTCCCACAGATTAAATCTGCCACTGTTTAGGARCACTAGAGCATCAGATACTGCTTTRGTTGAATAAGGAAAATTGCCAATAGTAAGCACAGGACTTTSATAAACTCTCCATCACATTCAAACTGCCCTTCTGTTAAATCTTTATATTACTGCAGTGTTACCGCGGGATGAAACATTAGAAAAAAAATCCTAGTCCATTTTTTCCCACTAATTGCTGTGTTAATATGGCTCTGATGTTCCTGTTCTGATGTTAATATGGTTCTGTTAATATGTTGYGGCATATTTGTCCTCTGACACATGGCTGAAGGCAGGCTATGGGGGTAAAAAAGATGAGACTTGAAATGAGTTTTTTACCCCTGTACACCACTGACTCTTTTGCTCATTTTCTAGAACTGCCCTGGTCATATTATCAAGGAGCAGAATATCTTTTCCACGTCACCCCWGCAGACTGGGAAACCTGTAAGTTTGTCTGTAGCTGGCTTCGTGGTGGATTGGCAATGATAAATTCTTCTGGTGAACAAGCCTTTGTTCAAAGTAAAATAAGAAAGGTAAGAAGAATTACCCTTTTGAAGAMATAAACCCTCAGGTGGTAACTGGCTATTTTCTGCTACTGTAATTCTGAATGTTTATGACTTAAAAAGTGATATAACTTTAAAAAAATATGTATTTTTCCAGATTCAGATCACTTAAAATGGATAATCAGAATGCTGCTTTACAGTCGTGTTCACTTACGCAAGATCTTTTAATACTAGATTTACCACTGAAATTAGTGGGCATTTTGAAAACTTGTGAGCATTCTGCAATGAAAAAGCCAAATCTGGTCTCTTGACACTGGAAATAAGCTTAACTTCCTTGAAATTTTGTCTCAGAAAACAACATACACAGCTTTTTCAAAGCCTGATAGCTTTGGCTGAGCTTTCCCAGCATAGCCACACTTASCCCTGAGTGATTGTAACTAGTTTCCTGTGGAAGCAGGAGTATGGCAGTCACTAAAATAGTACTCAGCAGTCCAATTAGATGTTGCATATGTCATTAGACCACTTGGTCAAAATTTCTTAGAATGGAATTTGGGATCACATTTTTCACTATTTCATTAAAAACTGTAATATGTAGGCTGTGTGCTGTGATTAGAAAACTAAGCTCAGGAGTCAGTCAGTGCCAAATCAGAGAGCATTCMACAGTTTTTTCTTTGTCAGAAATGTCTGTTTTTTTCATTTGATATTGTTAAATAATATGTAAGCTGGAGAATCCTAACTGTRACTCCAACACAGGCTGGACTTTCATTCCTTCTGACAAAAAATAAATGCTTCACAGAGACAAGGTGGCTTTTCTAGTGTCCTGCACTTYTAGAACTTTTTGGTTTTTTTCTTTTTCCAAGAGTCCCCAGACTGTGACTGCATGGCTAACCCTGGAAGYGAAACCAATTCATAGCTTAAGCTGGAATCAATTTGAACAAAGCAATAACACATGGCTGTTGGAATTGCATTTTTTCCATGGCTTTTCCATAACACTTTGCTATTAAAAGCAAAGGTGTAGATCCTTTCATGAGTACAGTGATCAGTCTGGAAAGCATCTCTAGAAAAGTCCTGTATGAGCCATGCAAAGCCAGTAAATGTTCATAAAAAGTATTTTGGATATATCGAGGATCAGCAGTACATTAGTACTTAAAGGAAATACTTGCTGTTGTCTAATTTTAAAAGTTGAGAGAAAACAAATTCTGGTCTAAGAGTACAGTCTTTTCAAACCAGATAGGCTGTAAATTCCTAAAACTGTAGATTGCTGGGTTACAGAAGACACATCAGCAATCCCAGGAAATTATTGGAGCTCATGCTCTATTCAACATGAATAACCTCAGTGTAGTGATTGATATGAATTAACATGGGCAGGATTTAGCATCTGTTCCTTCCATTGCAGCCCAGTGGAGATGCTGTTTGAATACAGAGTCTGAYTTTAGGAGTTTGTGCATGGATAAGGGGGCAAGAGCAGCTAAACACATGGCAAAACATTTCTTTTATAGCTGTCGAACAGTGATGTTCACTGGTGGATTGGACTGTACACAGAAAACCTCAGTGATGAATTTCGGTAAGAATTCACTGCAGTTCATTCATCTGCTGGGAGCTGTGCTTGGCATGACYTGTGTCAGTAYGATGGGCCAAAGCAGTTTGRTCACTGAGTGGGATATTCAAGACATAGCTTCAGTTCTCATGTAAAGATAATTTCAGAATAATTTATCTCCATATTGCCGTTCTCCTTCTGTCAGGGTTGTAAAAGACATTGATACTGACCTTGGTTGTGGYGGTTGGTTGTTCACTTTCTCCCTGGCATTTCCTTATGAGCCCTATGAGGGTGTAATTTTAGGTAAGGATAGGAAAAGTGAAACCTCATTCCTAATATTTCTGTGCAGGTGGAGAGATGAATCACCAGTAACATACCAGAACTGGGATGAAGGGAGGAAAAGAGATCTGCAGAAACCAGGGAAAAGATGTGCCTTCATTTCATCACAATCAGGTTTCTTTTATATTTCCTTTTGCTGCAGAAGAATTGTGACTTGATTCTGTTGTTGGCCAAAGGGTTTATTTCTTTTTTCATTGCTTTTAAGAAATGTAATCCATATCAAAGTCCTGTTCCATGGTTATAATATGCATAACTGCTTCTGTGATTAAGGAAAGTATTATGAAACATCATTAATCTGCTCAGGGACTAAGCTGTAGGTTTAAAAAGTTTGTTAATACTTACAGCTCTCTGATGTCAAAATACCAAGATTCCAGTGATACTGATACTTTAGTCTTAATTGGTCTGTTATGTGGCACAGCAACAATGCATTGCTGGTGTTCACATTTTCTCATAACCGAACGACCCAGATGGACTGAGCAACAATTTTTCCTACATCTATAAATTGTTTTTCTATCAGCACACAACTCTAAATACTCAGGTTTCTATCTTCTTTTTGATTCCATAGCAAATCTGCTGAGGGATTTTTGGATGCCATGATTTTGGTGCTAGCCTTTCGATCATGGCATAGTTCTWTATTTTACTAGATTAATAAAAAAATCCCAGTGCTTCTGCTCTAGTGATTGCTATCATCCCACAGTGTCTTTTTTCTGATGATCTGCAAGTCATATGATAAACACATCAGTTTCCAAGGAAAATAAAAATAGATTTGTGTTTGTGAGAAGAGCTGGAAAAGACTAATCCAGCTGCTCTCTTGTAATGCCAGCCTCAAAAGTCAAAACTGAAAAAGTGTAAAATTTTTTTCCCCTCATATAATGTTGGAGTTTTGATTCATGACTTTTGAATGCTTGAGTTTGCCATTGCCATAGTTAGTATCAGATAAAAGGAAGAGACGCCCACCCTCCCCCTCTCAGCTGACCAAATGTGGGGGCTGGCCAAAAATTTGTTCAGTTTCCTGAAAAGYGTGTTTTCCTCCTAAGCAGGTCAGCATTTTATATCATCAGCTCGATCTTGCCAAAAATTTTCAATGTAAGGAAGTCAAACTATTTTATCTGGAAGGCTTTTTGGTTTTTTGGTTTTTTTTGCATAACTTCTTTTTTAAATAAATGATTATATAGTCATATGTTATGAGACTCTGTAGAGGTGTTGGTTTTACTTAGCAAAATTAAACTAGTAATGAAAATAGGTGCCCCATGAACCATCAAGTCTGCTCTAATGCAGTATGTCCAATTATATTTGATGTAGAATCTCTTTTTACTCAAATACTAAAGTATACCCTTCTTAACAATATCTAAGCTAGCTAAGAAAAAACACCTTTTCCAAGTCTCAAAACAGTGTTGAACTGTGATTTTTCTTTTTACTCAGGACTCTGGGATGATGAAAACTGCACTGTTTCTCTTCCCTGCATCTGTAAACGTAAAATTCCAAAGAAGATAGAGAAAGAGATTCCAAAAGACCYGAGCCAACAAGGAGTATGTCCCAAAGGCTGGTTGCACTTTGGATTCAAAGTAAAACCTTTTTTTTATGCTGTTTCATTGTTCAAAATGTGTTCCATATTTAGGACATAAACTGTACTTAAGGATTACTTAATATTTAAAGATTTACTTACTTTTTGAAAATGCCCTTAGGTTTATAACTACTGATACCGTGACACAAAGATTTATTGCAGTTGAGTAGCTTCCCACACTTTAAAAAATTGTCTTAATAAGGTGCTAAAAATTTTACTTCAGATTCAGAGAGTAAATATTCATATATGCAAAAGCTGCRCAAGTGTATTTGTGCCTTTGCCATAAAAAGCCTGCTCCATCCTCTCTTTTCGACACCTTTTCCAAGTGTCTTTTGTGAWCTCAAAAGAGGTCTCTAACCCCTTGATGTACTGAATGGATCCCTAATTGCTGCTGTCCTCTGAAAGATGCTSTTTCAATTGGGCTTTATTAAARATCATTATAAGCCAGAGTCTATTTGCAGTTGAGGGTCAAAAGGTAACTGTTTCATCTGGCTTTTCCTGAATGCCCAATTTCCTTCACAGCAGCGTGCATTAAGGTGGCTGGATTTATCCCAGCGCTCGCTGCAGTGACTATGAGGATAAATTTAACCTCATTTGTGTTTGCCTTGAAACAACTAATTTGAATGCAATCCAGATGACAGCTGAAAACTCACAATGAGCATGGTGGAGATGTCCATGGCAGGGCAGAAAACAGTGAAATATTGAGCATTCAGTAACAGCATGTGAACTGTTTTGGTGATCACTATTAGTGATTGATAAATGACTGGAGAAAAACAAACAAAGCGAGTTTGTTTTGTTTTTTTTTTTTTTGAAACAGTGTTTTTTAATACAAATTCCAAAGGATCCAGAGCATCTGAGAAATTGGTACTCTGCACAAGAATTCTGCAGTAGCTATGATGGGTCACTTGCTTTCCTGGAAGACGAACTGGAGCAAGGTAGAGTGCTGCAGATATGTTAATAAATAAAGCATTGTTTTCCATTAGGCTGCTGTAGTAAAGTTAAATGTTGGACACAGATTTAGGAAAGAAGATCGTTCAGCTCTTACCCATGGTTCCACTATTTTAAACAAATTAGTATTTCTCTGTCTCAGTTTCCCAAAATTTAAAGGTTCACTGAGATATATGACAGGTATATTATAAGGAATAATTGCAAATTCTTTTGTGCTTACCATGCATTAAAATACCCCCAACAATGGAATACCCATTTAAAAACTGGCTGYTTCAAATTTCTACCTCATTATCTCATTTTTATCCTTTACTAGTACTTAAAATCTGATCTATAGTATAGGACATACCACTAGGCTGGAAGTGTCAGAAATAAATACCAGCAAATTTGGAAATATTTATAAGCCCTATTCTTAAAAAAGCTATAGTTGAATTTCACACGTTTGCAAAACCACTTGTTGGAGGTGAGAGGAATCTCACTGGCTATCTTTGKCTGAGAAATCTTGTTTTCAACTGAAACTGAGATAAGCCTCTTCAATTGGACTGTMTTATTACTGGAATGGTATTATTAGCTAATGGACTAGATCCTGACCCGATTAAATKAATCAAGTTAACTGTATTTATAGTTAGATGATACTGGAATGYCACTCATGTTCTTATTTTCTAGTAACTACTTAATATCATTGATTGGAAATTAATTTTTTCAATGCTTCAGTGTGTTGCAAGAGACTCCATCTATCCCTRAAKGCTTACYKGTTTATTTTATTTTATTTCTGTTTAATTTTCTAGCTTTCATAACAATGAATCTATATGGATGGAAAACTAGTGTTTGGATAGGTTTCCAGAGTGACCATTATGAAAAATGGTTGAATGAAAACCCTCAAATGTATTCCAACTGGTCTCCAGTTGAAGTAGTGGATGTGAGTATTTTCAGGGGGGTACAACAGTGAGAAGTTTTTTATCCRTAAAAATTATGGCTTCCATAAGACAAGGCCAAAGGTGTTACAGCAGTTCAGGCTCCTCTTAATTTTTGCAGCTTCAAAGAACTTCAGGCAYAGATTCACAGGCATTACTAGAAATAGCAAAAAAAGGCATGGTCAAGACAGATATTTACAAAATTCGTGGCTCTTCCCAGTTTCTCTTGCAGCTGGTTTTAAGCAGCACAGTTTGAATTATATGGTCAGTATGAGATACAGTCTGAGCAAAGCTTAGGCACAAGATTACGAATTTCCTATTCTAATACATTGCTTTACAACATGTTAGTCCCAACTGGGGTTAGCATTTTAGTTTGTTCTGTGAAAGCTAGTGAGTTTTTAATTATGAGGTTATGGTTTCAAATTGTATTTATGGGGACTGTTCATTGTTCTACCTAAATATTTGTTATACAGACTTTCGGATAATTATTCTCCTAAATTTGATGTAATGATTTTGCATTGTTTTACACAGTGTATTTTTAAATTAATAAAAGGTTCTGTGTTGATTGCAGAGACAGCATTTTAACATTCAAGACCAGATTCCACTGTGTACATTGGTATCAAATAACCCTAATTTTTATCTTACGGGAAAATGGTACTTAGAAAACTGTCAGAAAAATTACGGGTTTGTCTGCCAAAAGACTCAGGGTAAGGTTTTGTCTTGCTTTGCTTCTGTTCTCTTTTCTTACGATATTGAATTTGTCTTACTTTTTTTTTATATAGAGGCAGCTTTTTATAAGTGTCTCTCTAACAAGGAGCATAAAAAATTTCTAAGACAGTTTGCTATTTAGATAGACTAGCTCTACACTATGTAATAAATCAGTAGCTGGGATGTAGAAGTAATTGCTAAAAAAATGTTTTGTTATTAAGTTTTCCTCCTAACTTTGAGYATTCTGTTAGCGTATCTTTGAAGARGGAATAGAGATGACATTTTGTGTTTTTTCTCAGTACAGCAGAGTAACCACATGAAATTACAAAAGGCTAAAATAAGAGTAATTTTGATGAAAATATGATTTAGGGTAGAGATTTGTTACTTGCCATATTAGATCAGAACAGACCCTAGAAAATGTATTTTTCTGAACAGCATGGACCTGATTGGCTGACTGAGTAGAGCTTGGCTTCTCTTTTCTAGCACCACACTTCTTTAATTCTGGTACCATAAAGTTCCCCTGTCAGAACATGAAGCATTYGGGAGGAACACAGGTTGTTGTGTTTCCTCCAGCCACATTCTCTCAGCTGAGAGCCGTGGGCAGCTCTGGAGCCCCATCCCRGGGGCAGCTGTACCTGTGCCAGCAGGACATGTCCCCAAACAGAGCAGCAACAAATTATTAACCCTGAAGCAAAGGGAGGGCTGTAATCCGAGCCTGTAAGGAGTCTCCTTGGCCTCTGCCTTTACTGTGGGGGTGGTTTTGTACAGCTCAGCTCTATATTATATTATCACCCCTAAATTTAGCCCTGGGATTAGGAAACAGTACTCTCCTGCTTCTGCTTGGGAGGGGAGGGACAGCAAATTGAGAAGCAGAACAATTRCAAGCTTTGGGCAGTGCTCACATGTGGCTCAAGCAAAGCATAGCTGGGTTTTACTTRTTGGGAAGTACAATTGTGAGAAGGGCTGGAGCAATCCTGTGCATAGTGCAGAAAAAATAAATAAATATCTTTTCCTGCGGGTTTCTTTCAGTTACCTCCCAAACGTTTGTATTTTAACCTCTTGCTGGTTCTTGAGACAAATAGAGAAGGCATGGAAAGGCAGGAAGGAAAACAATTGCGTTGGGTGGCYGGGGTTCTGGAGAGGATTTGGGCTGCAGTGACTGCTCAGGATCCTATCCTCATTTCCCAGCTGTGTCACYGAAAGTCAGGAATARAACTCTCTAACACCGTAATTTCAGCATTAGAAAGCTGCATTACTTCATTTTGGTGCCAGGTGTGCAGGGAATATTTTCTCCTCTTCCCTGCCCTGCAGCCAGCCAACAGATCAGTTRAGTTCTCTGTAGCTTATGCATATTCATTCCATTTCCCAAAACTCATGCATATATGCTAAACAGTCCTGTGAATTCTTTTGCATATTTAAATCACYTCTCAGAGCTTATTTACTTAGTAGAGTAGGGGTTCTTTTGAGCGTCTCTGGTGGTCATTTGGGGAACATCTCATTCCTCAAATTACTCTTTTTTGGGTCATAGTCGTCAAAAAAAAAAAAAAGTTTCTTTTCTTGGAATGAATCCCAGTGGTGTGGTCTGGTGAAGATACACCTTCTTATCAGCATTGCTCCAGCCCGAAGTCTTTGAGATAAGCACTTGAACCCGTTAATGCCTGACTGAGCACTGTGGGTTAAAGCTGAAGGAGTTCATAAKGCTTAAACACCATTTGTTACAATTCAAGATTTGACCCAAGGGGGGCCCATGGGCAGTGGCTGCAGTGCTGCTCAGTGCTGCCCCAAGCACAGTAGGGTGTTCCTGGCTTTGAAGGGACCGTCCTGCCTCCCCAGTGCGACATTCGTGGCACCACCCCAAAACAATCATGCAGTTCAGCTTGCTAATTCAGCAGAAAACTTTCCTATCTTTTTTTCCCCCCTCCTGCTTTGTTTATTTATTTTTGTATAAATCATGTGATTTTCTGCAGCTTTTTACAGGCTGTGTCAGCTTTGCGCAGGGTCAGGCAAACACCAGAGCAGGGAATTTGCAGCAGGAAGAGCAGAGAAGCAAGGAAAGGGAGTACTGAGAMAGCCTCTTGCTGGCAGTAGTGAACTGCTAAATTTGCTTATGTGTCCAAACAAATGTGTCAATTCCTGGAAGGATGAGCTGGTGTTTTGCTTCTGCCATCCTGCCTGCATTCCATTTCTCCTCTTTTGAATTCTTTTCTGAGGGAGACTAAAATGAAATTAAGCAGCAGGGGGTTTGAACTGAGCTCTGCTCTCTCAGTGATGCTTGGGTTAGAACTGTGTCACCAATTTACAGCATTTTCTGCCTTTTTTAAGCAGTGCCACACACTGAAAGCTGGAACAAAACAGGGTGCTTCAGTTAGCTCAAGAGCAGAACTTCCTCTTGCTTAGAAATTTCTAATTTTAAATTATTTGTGAATGACAAGTAATAAATGAATTTGCTATCTTAAGATGTTTGTTAACACTCCTCCTCTCTWAGTCATACAGGGAACCAAGCCTAAAAACATTCCACCTTGTAGCAAAGCARCCACTTCATTTTGTAATCATACAGAAGCTTTATAGTGAGGAATAATTAATCCAAACTGACAAACAGGATCAAAATGGTAGCATTTTTTAAAGCATACTGGAGGCATCCACATACATTAGCAAAGGCATTTGCCTCCTGTAAAAGAGCGAGTGCAGCAGCATCACAGACTGGGCTGGGGTGAGATGGTCTCATCTCCTGATTTTTATTTATCATGAGAGACTCTGTTTCTTAAATGCAAGAGCCCTGCTTATTCCTTTCATGGTTTTGGACGTTGCTGTGTTAGTTTATCATCAGAAAGAGGTTTGAGTCTCCGTGCACAGATGATTTCTCTTTTAAGTGCCACATTGTGATCTTCCCTCCRTTGACTCATGGATATTAAAGAAGAGCTCAAGAAGCTCAAAAGCATGCACTTTGTTACCCTTTTGGCTGTATCAATAGAGTAATTTTTGAGGCCAGACCTTATGATAYAGGCTGATCTTGGAAATTATTAATAAGAGCAGGTCAAAAAAGAGGTAATCTAATTTACATGCCGGGTATCTGGGGATAAAAGCACTTGGCAGCCCACTGGTACTGGACATTTGGGATGTGCCCAAATCCCAGTTGATTTCTACTGACCTCCAAAGGTGCAGTCAATACAATTAACCTCATTCAGGTTTGGGGTGTTTTAAAATACATTAGACTCTGTCATTCCTGTAATGAGTTTTGTGATGTAATTTCAAATACTTTTCTAGTAGTCATTGTTTTTTCTTTTTAAATTTCACAGTGCCTTCCTAAAACTAATGAGTTTGCAACTTTTTAAATTTTTTGCGAGGATAATTCTGATTTTTTTTATTTAGGAGATGCTCAGCTGTGATCAAGTTGTCTGTTTTAAAAATAAGTTCTTTTTTTCTGTTTATGACAGACACATCCAGACACGTTACGAATGCATCTGACATGTATCCTGTGCCWGATACTTTAGAATATGGAAACAGGATGTATAAACTAATAAGTGGGAATTTTACATGGTCTTCAGCTTTGGAAGCGTGCATGGCAAACAGCGCAGAGTTGGTGAGCATTACAGACCAGTACCACCAAGCTTTCCTCACGGTCATCGTCAATCGCCTGGGGTACAGCCACTGGATCGGCCTCTTCACCTCTGATGTACGTAGCAGATTACCTGGCTGTGAATATGATGCTGCAAAGGAGTTTTTCCAGTAACAAGTTAGTGAGCTGTGTCATTGATTAGAAAAGTTTGCAGCTGGAGATGAAACCCTGGAAAATTTGAGCCTTTTTTTTTTTTTTTTCATTTTTTGTTTGGTTTGGGGTTTTTTGTTTTTTTTTCTTTTGATTTTTTTTTATATATATTTATTAATTTTTTTTTCGACATAACATTTAAGTCAAGTGAGAGCCAGTTTGGTACAATGACTACTGAAAGCTAAATGCCAGAGAAGACTTTTAAAAGCATGAAAAAAGAAATGTTTTGTTGCATCAACATTGAAATTTTGTTGTTTCATTTGTAGTAGCCCAATGGCCCAAGTAGCTGCTTGCTCAAAACCAAAGATTAGCTGTAGTTTGTAGTCTCCCAAAAGTGAGTTGGGAGGATCCTTGGCTCTGCCTTTCATAGATCCATCTGGATCCACTGAGCTTTTAGAAAATTTAGGCATTCTGTAATACCTGGTGAGGATGCCACCAAAAGAAGATTAATTTGTATGGTGCTAAAGCATATCAGAACAATAACGTGAACTTTGTTTTGGCAGAAYGGGCTTAACTTTGAGTGGTCGGATGGGACCAGGTCTTTGTTTACCTTCTGGGAAGATGATGAGTCCCAGGCCTTTGGCAGCTGTGTTTACATGGATACTTCAGGGCACTGGAAAAGTGGAAATTGTGARCAATTTCTGCAAGGAGCAGTTTGCCATGTGCCACCTGGTAAGTCAGAACCACAGTTTATGTTAAATCTTTGCAGCTGCAAGTGTATGCTCTGACAGTGGAAATATGTGAAAGGAGATTAATGGGTTTGAGGTTAAGCAATGTTAAGCAAGGCTAACTATCATTTAAAACTGAAGTACGTTTCTCTGTATTTCTTATTTGTGAAACCATTTTTTCCCAATAAAACATTGGCCATCAGATCTGATCTGTAGAAGAATGGAGAGAGAACTTTCATTATGGAAAAGAAACAGGAAAATTACTTACTCTGTCTCATCAGTGAGCATTATATTACTGATGAAAAATGAGGATTGCTAATGACCTAGCTTGAAGGGAAATAAATTCAGTTTCCTGAAATTAACTTTGGGATGGGCGAAGGGGAGCATTTAGAGCAAAGTGAAAAATTAATCACATCTTCGCTGAGAAGYACATCAAAGATTTTGCAGTCTTTTTTAGTTAAGAATATTTTTCTGTATCCTAAAATATGTTGTGTTTTCTGCAATGCTCTGTCAGTTACCTGGGCTTCAGCTGCATCCAGAATTCAGGGGTGGAGCTCCATTCAGTCCAGGACTGCAGGGTCTTGTGGCAGCACCCAGCTCTCCAAATTGCTCCCATTCAGCAGAGTTGATCACCTGGGCCCGTGGTTTGCTCATGACCTGCTCTGCACATCACTATCAGTTAGGTTRTCCTGATCCTGCTGCTGCAATCCAGCAAGGCTTTTGATCAGAAATAAAACCATCTGTACTCATTAAATACAAGTATATGCAACCRCTAGGTTTTCACTTTGAAAAAAATTGAGGCATAACACAATAATGTGCTTTATTAGCATTACTCCAAAACAGTGTGTGGAATGCTATATTAATGTGTATTTTGTTGTGCCAATAAAGCTGTGCTGTTACTTCTATCACAGAAAAGAAACTCAGTGACTATAAAGGCTTATGTTCAGAAAAAACTGTACCCTGGATCAAATTCAAAAACAGTTGCTACAGTTTTTCCACAGTTCTGCAGGGCATGAGTTTTGATACTGCATATGAAGTCTGCAAAAATCAAGGTAAGTGATTATTTTTAAGCTACCAAATGTCATTGTGATATCTTTAAACAGWTTATTTTCTGAAATGACTGAAATCATGGCATATGTTTTCTCTGTTTCAATATAACAATAATGGAACTCATAAGCCAACTATGAAATTGGAGGCAACATAAGCGAAAAAAAAGGTTCCTCTCCCTGTAAAAATACTGGTTTCTTCAATAATATGTAAATTGAACTTTTCCCCCTTCAAATTTGTTTTGAAGTCATGTGAGAAGAGTTTTATGTTTGCCTGAGCATTTTCACATTAATTACAAATTTAAGAACTTATACTATATAAGCAGACTTCTTAAGCTTTTCACTTAAGACTGGTAACGTTAACTTTTTGAAATACAATAGTACATTCAGCATGGATTGCTTGAAAAATTGTTCTGTGTTTAATTTGTAGGATCAAATCTTCTTACTATTCAAGACGAAGATGAAAATGCCTTCATTTTGGAAGAATTACACAGTTTTGGTTACTCCRTGCAAATGGTTTGGTTGAACRTCCTGCTTGTTACAGACAGTAAGTTTGGGGAGGAATAGAAGTGCATGTAAGAAKCTAGGGGGTTTTGGTTATTTTAATGCTAGCATAACCATCTTCCAAAATAGTGYTGTCTTTTGAGATTTTGTTCACTGATTTTTGCCTGTTTATGCGTCAGTAAAACCACTGAAGCTTTCTGCAGATGTTACCAGCATTCTGAATACTCGATATTCATACATGCATGTAAAATGCCTTTTTTCTTCCTTCTTAAAGATGCCTTACAGATTGCCTTCTGTAGTGTTAACTACATAGGATGTTTCTAATCCTTCAGTAAAAAAGGTAATACAGTGACCAAACAGACAAAATCCTGATATTCCATAATGCCATATTTTTTATGTGAGGATAAATCTAACTGAAACAGAAACATTTATCAAAATTTTATTCTAGTTTCTAATTATTTTTATCTTCCACCCATAGATGAGACAGTCTCCTGGTTTGATGGTTCTCCTTTAAATTATTCTAACTGGGGCATCTGGGAGCCTGAATTTGATCATCTCAAAGGGAATTTCTGTGTCAGCTTGAGGACCACAGATGGAGTCTGGCAATTATCTCCTTGCAAAGAAAAGAAGGGTTTTGTGTGTAAAATGGATGCAGGTACGTGCTTCCATAAAAGAAGGCAATTCTGTCCTTATAACCATTGTTTCATTTGCTCCTTGTCACTTGCTTACTTGCAGTTAGTTTTCATTTAATTAATTCTGACCCTTGGCATTAGAGAAGTACCAGTAAAAGCCCTGGCCAGGGTGGGTGAGCTCTGTTTGGGGAACCTGGGCAGYTGCTGTGTCAGTGCCAACTGCAGGAGCCTTCCTGTGGCATCAGGGTGACCTCCACAGCCCCTGCTGGGTGGGCAGGTCCAGCCTGGGAGAGCTGGGCAAGCACCACAGCAGTAGGAACGTGGGTCTGTGAGAGAGGTCAAGTGTTTCCAGAGCCCACACAAAATCCCTCARTCACTGCCAGACCCATCAGCCAGATTGATCCAGCTCTGCATGGTTCTGTTCATGCATTTATASTTTAAAAAGTGGGTAAATACTGCTGCTCATCCTTGCACGAATGCCAGTTGATATATTCCATCAAATTAAAGGGATTTTAAATAAATACTAGATTATGTTTAACTTGGCCAGTTAGAATAACATTGACATGAGTCAAATTAAACAAAGAACAGGCTATTCTTGTTGGTTTTAGGTAGATTTTCTTCTCAGTATCCATTTTAAAATGAATATACATAATAACCTCTGTTACCTCTGTGGATGATTTTGTGACCATTCTGGATTCTATTTCAGATATCTATGMAACAGAAGCTTCTGAAAAAGGTAAGTGCTTTATTTTTTAATAAGAAGTAATACACATCTGTAGCTAATATTTCGTGAGATAACATTTTTCACTGCTAAACCTGTAATTTAAAATGTGTGACATATAAGGAATAATATGTTTTCCATAAAACAGCTGCATGTTTACATTTAGAATTACCTTTAATTGTAGCTATATTTGCTTGCTGACGTTTTCTGTTCTTCCCTTTCAGCATCATACAGTGGGCTTGTAGCTCTGGCTGTTCTTGTGACACTGGTGATGTTGGCTGCAATTTCCCTTTTCCTGTGGTGCCTGCACAAAGAGAATAACCAACTCTTCCGCAGGATGCTGTGGGTCAGAAATGCCTATTTGCCACAGATTAATGCTGATAGTCCTACTTTGGAAGAAAGCATCCTCATTTCTGACTTTGAGAGAAGTGARAACAATTAATTGATCAGAAGTAGCAAGCGATCTTGTCTTCTGTGTGAAATTTCACAACCTACAGTGGTTTTCTCATTCTCAGGAGTCCCTCAGGGTGCCCATATCCTGAGAAAACCTCATGGCCATCAGTATGAATGCTGGAGGAGCTTTCTACCCTGGAGAGCTTTTGCTTTGTGGCAGGATGAAGGAGGATGCAAGGCAAAGCCACAGAGAAATTTTCTTCTCTGAGACAAGCCAGGAATTGAAAATACCCACAGATCATAAACCTCCAACCACTCGCTGGAGGTCCCACAGCAGCAGGCATTTTCATGCAACTTTTTCTTTTGGGAATGTTTGCAGAACGTGCTTATGAGCTGTCATTAAAATTTGGCCTTGAATTTAGGAACTCTGAAACATGTTCCAAGGATTATGGGGAAGACTTTTTTTTTACTGGCAAAATGAACAGTTTTGGTTTTTCTGCAAAATGAACAGTTGTTTTTTAGACAGTAGATTCTTGCCATGTAGATTTCCAAGCTTGCAGGGAGATGAAGTCATTCTTCACTTGAAACTGTCAGAGTTTTGGTAGTTTGGTCTGTGATGCCTAGTACATGTTATAAAATAAATTAGTCTAGAGATAYGATGCCATATGGGCTTTGTCATCCTGAACTTATTATATCCATTTGAGATGCATCCATCATCCTGTTAAAGATTTAGCTRTGCCATGTCTCACCTAGATTATTTCAGACATGGAATCCCATCAACCTCCCTTAAAAACATATTTTGGCAGTATCTGCTGAAGAAAAAAAAAACTGTTGTAAACTTTGCTGAAGGTATGGAACAAATGGCTTTACTGCTCACCTGCAGTGTTTCTGTGAGCAGTGTTCATGGACACTTGGCTGAGACCCCACTCTCCAAAGCCAAGGGTGGCATTTGGGGGAGCCACACTGCTGTTCCCAAAGGGTGCTAGTCCTCTAACCCCAYGTAGCAGACACTTTCCCTTTCAGTGTTCCTATGAAGGTGCTAAGAAAGAAGATGAATTKTGCTGACCCGTTGGTCTGCAGGCTGATGGTTATGAAGGAGCCAGGCTCAGGTTTTAATTTCAGTTGCAGCAGCCCAGACAGAAATGCTTGTTCTCCCTGGGATTCCACCACCCTAACCAGTCCTCCACCCACCTCTCTGAAAACACCTGGAAGCTTTTCAGGGATTTTATTTTTTTTATTTTTATTGCAGTGTGGAAAAACAAATGTTTAATCATGGTTACTTCAGAAAGGATTTCGTGTTGTTTCCATCACCTCTAAATGCTGCTGCAAAGGGCTGTATTTGTTGTTCAGTTTCATGGTTTCCTTGTTTCAAGGTGACTCATTCTAAAAATTTTGCAATAGCCCTGAGCTGGAGGTGTGTTCCTCAGAATTAAGCAAGCAGCTAAGGCCAACTGAAATRTTTTTACACAATATTTGTGCACTTGCACAGGAATGTATGACTGCCTTTTATTAGATTTCATATGGCCAAAAATTGCCTGTTCATGCCATAATTATGTGTAGGGCTATTTTTAAAAATTACATAGTGCATAGAATRTTTCTATGCTGGTTTACAGAACTGGTTTACTCTTTTTGATAACTTTCAAGTTGTAGCTATCACAAGTTTTTAATCTTAAATTTTTCTATCATATAAAATATGAATAGCTTTTCTGTGTACATTCTGTCTTGTAGTTTGACCCCATACATTAGTATTCAGTAATATTCTACAAGTTTTGGTTTCATCCTCTAGATTTATCTGTGGGACTATTTTTATTTGCAGTCCACTATTAGAGTTTGTGAACTGCAACTTTTGAGCACAATTGTCAGATAATCTATTGTTTATATGTATTAACTGTGATAGCTTCTTTACAACCAAAAGAAAAGAAGAAAAAAAACTTAYGGCTTTCTCTCCTTTCCCCATGAGTATTTCACATATCTAAACTACAGTTGGAGAAACTTAAACCAACAAACCCCCTTCATCCCATTCACTCTCGAGGGTGTAAATGCCGCTGCCTTACAGTTCAGCAAGGGGAGTGGCTTGCAGGGTGGTTTTTGTTTGCAAGAGTAAGCTGTGTCATCTCTGAGAGCATGTATTCATTGGGCTACAGTGCTGTTGATAGTTATACAGACTCTGCTCAGATTTTGCTATGGTTAATGAAGTTGTACTTTTTCACAAAACTTGACAAAGATGTTTTATCAGTTTCCCTTGAGGTATGTTTTATTCCTTAAAATATAGCTGAAGGTCAGTGGYATAATCAATAAACCTAATCTCAAAACAGTGATTGTTGATTAACATTGGTGTAAATGAGTTTGTATTAAACAAAACRAAGTCCAAAGTTTCTTCCTAATTTGAAGTGGTTTTGAAGGAAGAGACCAGATTGATATTTATTTCTAAATATTTCATCATTTAACTTTTTATAATTGCAGGTATGATTCACTCAAGAATGTAATCATTGATTGCTTTCTAGTCTTCCTTCTGGATTTTGTTACCAATGGCTTTCAATTGTTTCCCCTTAATCAGAAGTTTCCTATATTTTCCCTGATCAGAGTATGTGGTGACTGTTTTTACTTCTGACCTTGATGACTCTGGCAGTGAGATTCACTGTGTTATTTCAACTGGAAAATTAAAGCATGACTAAGAGTTCTCTGTGCTGTAGTTTTTCTTGAGTCTTTCCCTAAGGGAAGAGGCATTTAGTGTCTCATAAGAGCAGTGCCCAGGCCTTGCACTGGATGATGCTGTTTGGAGGACAGCAGGCTCCAGCCTCTTCCTGGCTGTGTGACTGCACTGGGTGCTGCATTGATCTCCACACACAGGGTGCTCTGAGTGTTTCCCAGGGCACGGATGAGGACACCCCAGAACGTGTGTGTATGAGGTGCTGGAAGGAGGTGGGAGCCACAGCACTATCACTAAGGATGATGGGTGGGATCATGGCACTAATTTATAGATATTCTTCCAACCTGCTACCTGTTCCCTGCAGGAGGGAGCTGGGGCCACCAGGGATGTGTGATGGGCTGGGGAACTTTCCTGCTGAATTGTGGAGGCTGTGGTCTATTTGTTTCTGCCACAAATGGGGGGAGATATGGATTTGCAGCACAGCAGCTTCCATCGATGTCACCTAAGTTCTGCCTATGTCCAAGAACTGGTTTCCCCGCAGCCTAAATAGGCAAGTGAAGGTTGTGGTTTTGTTTGCCATGTTAGCTTCTTTCAGTGCTCTTACCGAAAGTGTTAAATSTGCAGCCCTGATGCAGATGGGTGAGTAACCATCAGGGCCAAACCCACAGGCGGCCGTGCTGTTCTGAGCTGGGATGAATAAGGTGGATCGTGGTGCTTGGAAAAACACTCGGTCCCGGTTCGGCCAGTAGATGGTAGTGGTGCACACAGAGCTGAGAAAACGAGCTGTGCGAGAGAAAATACTGCTAGGATCTGCTCCTCGTCCTTTAGAARTTTAGTTAAACAAGAATCCCAAGTCACAGGACAGCAAAGTGCAGAGCGGGTTCTCAGCCACGGCCACAATGTCACCAAACGGCGTTTAGACGGCTTTCCAAGTCTGTGCTCCTTCTCAACTGCTTTAATGAACGCATTGAAGTGCTCGGAAAGGGATAAAGCAAGTCCTTGCACTGGTCTGTGAGCTTTTCATTTCTTCGGTGAGTAAAGAGAAAATCCATTCAGGCTGCTAAATAATAAATAAGTATATCTTTGTGGTATATTTTTTTCTGATGCCTTTCATGGGAAGGTAATTCAATGAAAATGCTCCAGCCATGTTAAGGGATTTATTTTAATATTTTATTTCTTGACTSTATCAGTGTAGGCAATTGCTTACCAATTTTCATGGGAAATAAAAAAGTAAGATATAAATTACTGCATAAATAATCCTTCCACTGCACTGTTGAAAGCAGATTTATTTTTCTCCTCCCAATTTATTCTGGAAGTTGCCCAAAGCATAGGCGTTCCTGATCCCTTTCTATATTCATTATCTTTATGCAGAATGACCGTGATTTGGATTTAGATCTTAGAAACTTAACCATTAAAAAAAGGCACTGAGGATAATTTTGTGATAAAACCTCACTTCAAAACCTTAGTTTTTACTATCTCGTTTCCTTACTCTGGAGCTTTTCTGAGACTTCCCCAGTCCTCCTATGATGAAGAAACTGCATTTGTCTAAGGAAGTGTGCTAGACCCAGCCTGTTGCAATACTTATGAGTAACACCATGGTAATTTATAACCACGGAAGTGATTCTCAGCTGCAATTGTTTCCAAAAGAGCACAGCTAGAAAATAGCAAAAATACTTCTACTACCTTTTTCTTTATTTCTCAGGCTTTTTTTTTTTTTTTCTTTTTGTTGACTTGTTGCTATTGTTGTAACAAATTCTACTTTTTTCTTAACCTCAGCCTAAAGACAAAATTCCTACTGTGGTTCTCAGAAATAAATGTTTGAAAACATTTTCTTTTAGTATCAACARTGGCTAAACTTGTATATACAAAATAATTCTTGAAGTGTAGAGTAGGCTGAAAGTTCCTCTTCTCTGCATGCTAGCAAAGGAAAATAGGGAAGCCTGTCTTTGTGAACCATGCACAGAAAGGCACAAGACTAACAGCCTGCTGTGTACCGAGGTGGATGGCCTGCAGCAGTGGGGATTGTCACCCGGTGCTTGAAGGCCATCCAACACCACTGGGTGGATTAGGGGAATGAAACAGCTGGGTCAGTATCCCAGAAAACACAACATAGAACAATACCATCCCTGTAGTTTTTCAGATTTTTATAGATGGATGTTCATCTTTAGAAATTAAAGGTTTCCATTTATGTTGTACAAAAAAAAAATCCTGTTCTCTTTTGTTTTTTACCTGAAAAAACAAAAAGCACTGAAAATTATCAAATGCGTTCCTCTTCTGCGGATATTTATTCAGGTCATTTGTTCTAAAGCATGATCTTAGGCCTTTGATCCCAGCCATAACCTGATTAAATCTGCTTTGCCATAAACCTTGTGTGCACTGTAGATGAGAAGGCCCTGGAAAGTCCCCACAGAGCTGAGAACAGACAGACTCCACCTCATCAGCAGCTTTGGGCTGTGTGGCTTCACTGACGCTGGATTTGGGACACCAGCCCAGAGTTTAATGTTTCCAGGTTCATTCAGGTGTGCRAGCAGAATCCATAACATCGGACATTGCCAGTGAGCTGGCATACACAAACTCTTAATATATTAAGTGAAAGAATATTCTGAGTCATGTAAGACTTCATTTTTTATGGTCCCAACTCTGCTTCATCTGTATTAGTTTGTTTTGGTAAGTTTACTGTTCATGCTAGCCGGCTTACTGTTACGTACCCRAAATCTGACAGCTATCTAAGGGCTTACATGACCTAGGCAATATTTTATATTCAAGAATACCAGAAGGATTCTTTCTGAAAATGTAAGAAGGTAATATTCATGCTGCTGCCTATCATGCCCTGCTAGTCTTCTGGGATGAAAATTATGTTGAGGGGAAAATTAAATTATTCTCATTATTGTTTCAAAAGTAAATATTGAAGATGGAATTTTACATATGGGATACATTGTAGCTGTAAAAGACATAAGGTTCAGTTAAATGTGGAAATGCATCATGTGAGGCTTTTTGTCTGGAAAGAAGAGATATTTAGAATACATACAGGAACAGTGGCTACTTTACCCTTTAACATATTTGTAGTATAAATAACAGAGTGGCTGTTCCCCTCTCACCATACCCAGAAACACAGCTATGTAGCCTTTATCCCTGCAGGCTCCTCTGGAGCACACACACCACRTGGCAGGGTATCCAGGTGTAATTAAGTTATGGAAGAAGGAAGAAAGCCAATGTGGGCTTTTTTTTCCCCTCAACATTCTGGACAGTTTTTTTTCATCTTGTCATTGACCACCCACTTGCCCAACCTTCCTGAATCTAGTGTGTGTTGATGATATGGTTTTTAATTATTGCTATTTATATAAAAATATGCTCAATTCTTGCCTGATTAAAAAAATGTAAAGTGGAATTTGGGTGAGTCATAGTTGYTCTTACAGATTGTTCAACCACTTGCTCTGATGTAGCACAAAGCAAACCCTCATGGAAGGAAAGACAAAAGGAAGAACCGTTCACTGGAGAAAGCAAAAGTATCARGAGAACAGGGATCAGTTATCCCTCCTATTTGTGAACACTGGAACAAGAATTAAGTGACTGAACTGCAGCAGACAATACGTGGTGATAAGTGGGGATAGCTGGGCTGGCAATAAGCAGCCAAAGCAAGTGGCAGGGTCAGCGTGCACTGTTACATTCAATAACTGTGGTTTAGAAATAAACAAATCAATCCACCACAGCTGCTGGGGATTTGATTCACAGCACTGCTGGRTGGCCCTTTCAGGTCACCTTGGGTAACAATGAGTAAGCCTGACCTGAAAATATTGGTGTGTAAACATTTGTGGGACTGCTGATGCATCATCCCACTGCCTTCTAGCCCAAACCCGCCTTCCAGTTTTCTGACCCACACCAGTGTTCAGAGGCCAGAATTCAGGACCTCTGGACACAAATGCCATGCAGCTGGAACATAAGAAAAAACCTCTACTTAAGTTTGTGGTTTGTCTCTGGATAGAGAACRAGTGAAGCTGAATCATCCAATTCATCTACTATGGCAGCCAGTGGGACACAGGCACKCGACCTGCCCTGGGTACATAAAATCCAAATCCAGGATAAAGGATGTGGAGGCCCAGAACCACTACATGAAGAACTCAAAAATAGAAGGATATATGCAAAAACTGATTTTTTTTGCTTTAGTTTCTTTTCTACTTTCTGATTTTTGTGGCAGACCAGGTGATGGGATGCTTGATGATCTCTTTGCTCARGTTGTACTTTGAAGATGTTTCTGTGATGCACTTTTAATAGTCCAGATGCCTCAGCAAGTCTGGAGCTGGGCCCCAGGTGGGGCCAGCCTGTGGGGAGAAGCCCCAGTTCTGTGCATGAGGCAGTGATGTCCCAAACGCCCCTTTCTTCCTCTTGTATAACACAGTAGTGGAAACAGCAACTTCCTGAACAACAACTGCCTGGTTCAAAGCACTGAGATGTGACTGACTGACAGGGCAGCTTTTGGCAGGCTTACAAATATCTGTTCCTAGCTCCACGTGGATCTGCTGAAGTTGATGTGTGGCCAAATCTGGTTCAAGAACTGTGGGATGGGCTGTAAAGTCCATGACATTCAAAGAAAAGCCATATGAGAAAGGGCAGGAATGGTTGACCCCAGTTCTACCAGGATCATAAAACCATAAAAAATTTCCTTTTTGAAATTTGATACATTTAATCCTTTTGTATAACAACAGCAAAATAAAGAAAATTATTTCTGACGTGGACATTCTTCAGTCTTTTGGAAAAGATATTTAAACAGAGCTCATAGGTTTTCTGTTTTCCCTGGAGACTGAGAAACATTTGTGGGATCCTGAAAAAAGCTAAAAACCTCACGTTCTCAAGTATAAGGACACCCAGAACAGATGCAAAACTTAACCAAAGGAGCATAGTGCTATGTTAGTGCTAGTATTTATTGTTTTTATGATTGCATTTTTAAGCAGTCATTCTTTTGATCCATGCTAACTGCTGGTCAGGGAAAGAAAAATAAAGCTTACAGAGAAAATAACAAAATATTCTGGCTGGAGGCCAAAACTTCACAAGA